TTGTTCTCTATAAGAATGAAGTTGAAAATCAACTCAATAAGAAAATTAAAAGATTGAGAAGTGATAGAGGTGGCGAGTATGAAGTACCAATTGGTGAATTCTGTGCACAACTCGGAATTATACATGAAATAACTGCGCCTTACTCTCCTCAATCAAATGGTGTTGCTTGAACGTAAAAATCGCACATTGAAAGAAATGATGAACGCGATATTACTAAATTCAGGTTTGCCTCAAAATATGTGGGGAGAAGCTATATTGTCAAGCAATTACCTTTTAAATAAGGTACCTCGAAAGAAAGAGGATAAAACCCCTTATGAGTTATGGAAAGGTAGGAGACCATCCTACAAACACTTTCGAGTGTGGGGGTGTCTTGCAAAAGTGGCGGTTCCAACACCAAAGAAGACAAAGATAGGTCCTAAAACAATTGGATCGTATCTTTATAGGCTATGCACATAACAATTAATGCATATCGATTTCTTGTACATGAATCTAAAATTCCAGATATACACAAGAATACGATCATGGAATCTAGGAATGCATCATTCTTTGAAAATGTATTTCCTTGTAAATCCAATGATGGATCAAGTTCATCTAAACGAAAGAATGAAACTATGAATGAAGAAAGTCACGATTCGGCTCATGAAATTCATGACTCAGATCATGAACTAGAACTGAGACGTAGCAAAAGAGCAAGAGTAAAAAAATCTTTTGGAAATGATTTTCTAACTTATTTGTTAGAAAAGGAACCATTAAATTATGCAGAAGCTGTAAATTCTTCTGAGGGACCTCTTTGGAAAGAAGCAATAAAAAGTGAAGTTGATTCTATTTTGCAGAATCATACTTGGGAGCTAGTGAATCTTCCTCCTGGTTGTAAGCCTTTAAAGTCCAAATGGATTTTTAAAAGGAAAATGAAAGCAGATGGCTCCATTGATAAGTACAAAACCAGACTTGTGATCAAATGATACAAACAACGAGAAGGCTTAGATTACTTTGATACTTATTCTCCTGTGACGAGAATAACCTCCATTAGGATGATAATTGCAATTGCAGCATTGCGAAATCTGGAAGTACATTAAATGGATGTAAAAACAGCTTTTCTAAATGGTGATTTGGATGAAGAAATCTACATGGAACAACCTGAGGGTTTTATAGTTCCAGGACAAGAAAGGAAAGTCTGTAAATTGGTGAAATCATTGTATGGCCTAAAACAAGCACCAAAGCAGTGGCATGAAAAGTTTGATAATGCAATGATTACCAATGGTTTTAAGATCAATGAATGTGATAAATGTGTCTACATTAAAGAGACAACAAATATCTATGTCATTTTATGTCTTTACGTAGATGACATACTAATTGTTGGTAGTGATGATAAAATGATCAAATCTACCAAGTATATGTTGAATTCAAGATTTGACATGAAAGATATGGGACCTACTGATATGATTTTAGGAATTAAAATCACAAGAACATCAGAAGGTCTTATTTTAAACCAGTCACACTATGTGGACAAGATTCTTGAAAAATTCAACATGAATGATTCTGGTATCGCTAGAACACCATTAGACAATAGTCTTCATCTTTCCAAGAATAGAGGAGAGGGTATTTCTCAAGTAGAGTACTTTAGAGTTGTTGGAAGTATAATGTACTTAATGAGTTGTACTAGACCAGACATTGCCTATACGGTTGGTAAATTAAGTAGATATACAAGCAATCCGAGTGCTGACCATTGGAAAGCAATAGTGAGAGTATTCAGGTACTTACGATATACTCAAAATTATGGCCTGCATTATACCAAATACCCAGCTATTCTGGAAGGATATAGTGATGCGAACTGGATATCTGATATAAAAGACTCAAAATCTACTAGTGGATATGTATTCACACTAGCAGGAGCAGCCGTATCTTGGAAATCCTGTAAACAAACTGTTATAGCCAGATCCACAATGGAATCTGAATTTATAGCATTAGATAAATGTGGTGAAGAGGCTGAATGGCTACGCCATTTCTTAGAGGATATTCCAAAATGGCAAAAACCGTGCCACCAATAAGTATACATTGTGATAGTCAATGCGATTGGAAGAGCACGAGTAATATGTATAGTGGTAAGTCTAGACATATACGTCGTAGACATAATACCATTAGACAACTACTCTCAACAGGAATTATCTCTATTGACTACGTAAAGTCAAGGGATAATATTGCTGATCCGCTAACCAAAGGGTTAAACAGAGAGTTAGTTGAGAAATCGACAAGAGGAATGGGACTGAAGCCCATGAAAGAATAAGTTGGTATAAAGGAAACCCAACCTAGTTGACTGGAGATCCCAAGATCTAGGTTCAAAGGGACAACCTAATTATATAAACTTAGTGATGTCACTGTGGGGGTTATCCCTAAAACCATTCCTATATAAAATAACAGTGATATTGTAATGGAAAGGATAGCATTTTGCTTTAATGATTCTTAAGTGGAGTAAACAAATTACTCAAAATTAAGTAATCACCTATGTGAGAGAGAAGTGGGGCCGCTTCAAAGGAGAATTATTTAAGGGCTAAATTCTTTAGAAACTCTTGCAGAACCAGGTTGATGTTCATGGCCAAAACGATCATAACTATGAGAACTGAACAAACGTTTAGATGATTCCTGTGTGAAGTGTATGGTTCATTTACATAAGAAAGCTGGACAGTTCAAGGACATAATGTCTACTGGACAACTAGTAAAGTAAATATACTTTCACAAGGGAAGGTTCAAAGGGTAATACCTACCTATCCTATGCAGGTTTCAATTGTTGAACACTATCATAGAGTCAAAACTAAAACAATTTTCATTCATGTGGGGGATTGTTGGAAATATGGGATAAATTGATGGGTGAATGAATGAGAAATTGATGCTCAAAGAACACCCTTGAGTTGGAAGTGGGAAGTGGAAAAACACTATTCCCACATCGGAAAAGAAAGAAGGCTATGGAGTGCTTTATATACAGTTACACTTATTTGAAGTGGTAATTATCATAGCACAAACTCTCTGCCTCGCGTGCAGGCGCAAGGGGAGGTGCAAATCCGACGCCCGACAAGTTGAAACTTGGGCGCGAGCACACATCCCGCGTACACGATTGCAGAACCGAAAAGTGGGCCTCGCGACGAGCCCAATTTTGCCTTCTGATTTAATTTTTTCAACTCAAACTGTTACGAATTTCGTAACGTGCGGCAGATTTAATCAACCGTTATTCTCATGCGTATTGATTTTATAACGGCATATTTAATCGTCCGTATTGATTTTATAACGGCAGAATTAATCGTCCGTTATTCGTATTGATTTTATAACGGCAGATTTAATCGTCCGTTATTCGTATTGATTTTGTAACGACAGATTTAATCGGCCGTTATTATTTCCGAATTGCTCTCCCCTTTGTTCCTTTTTATTGAAATCATTCTTCCTCTGGTTTTATACTCTCTCTGCATTTTGCACTGTTTTTCGGTAGTGTTCATTTCGAGTTTGTTCAAGTTCGCCGGAAGCTTGGAAGTGCCGTGCTCTCTTCTTCGCTGTCAACCGTTGTATTCTGGGAGACAGACGTTCACGAAACCTCGATCGCGTACTGGAGGGAACGAATCTGTTTTAAGGACACTGTGTCAAACACAGGCCTCGGTATTCATTTATATCGATTCCAACTTTGTTATTACAATTTCGTTTCTTTACAGTTCTATATTTTTTGTAATATTTATACTGATGCCGATTTGAATTTCGCAACATATATAATGTAAATAATTCAAAATACAGACCGAGTTGAAGCTCTGGGACTACCTTGGCCACAGCAGCAATGGCCAACTCAGTGGACATGAGCAAGAAAAACACCACAAAGATTGTCATCACCACCACATTGATGGTCTTGAAGAGGCCAAGTTTTGCCAACGTATCAAGAGATGAATGAAGTGGTTTTGGGATTAGATTCTTGCTTTTGGTCAAGGGTTTTGGGGTGGAGACAACTCATTTTAGGATCAAGTATTTATAGAGAAAGAGAGTGGCATGATTGGGCTTGGTTCGATTCCTTCCCTTGCATCCCTAGTCTTATGATTTGGTGGAGGAGGGTGTTGGATTATATTGACTTCTATTTAATACAAATACCCTTCTAATTGCATGGATAAAGTAAGATGCGAGCCAAAATTCGAGTAGGTGGTGCAAACATGGAATTGTTTTTTACACTCGATGGTGTGGAAAAATGAATCTGCGTCGCTCATGTAGTTCAGGCACATCTCTGTTCGTTGATCACTAAACTAAAAGACACGTTAATTCGACAAAATAGATTAGCACGAGCTGCAACTTTATAAAACATGATAGTGTTCGGCATTATTTTAACGTCGACACACAGTACGTAGAGCTCAGGGGTTGATTAATTAAGGGCATTGGAAACGTTGGGGCAACTGAGCTCGCTTAAAAATGGAGCCATTGGCGATCGCTGGTCATTACCTCAAAGTTCAAAGATGGAAACCGAGATTAATCCATCGAAAGCTACTAAAAATCTCTGAACTAAATCAAGCCAAGTGAAACTTTCGAAACAAAAGCAATCGCAGCTTTTACAACCTCTCTTGGGGAAGTCGGGAAGTAAGGTAAATAGCATTTCTTCTTAATTCCGTTCTCGAAAAGAAGAAAGAAAAAAGAAAAATGTAGCCCTACCTACAAAAGCAGAAAGAAGAATTTGTTGAGAACAAGGAAAGCCCAGCGACCAAAGCTTCACCATCTGCCCCCAATAACATAAATTATTTTTTATTACATCAACTGATACTGCAAATGACAATTATTCTGTTTCAGAAATTAATTTCTGGCCATAAATAATTTTTTCTATTTCTGTTCCTGGACAAGTTTTTGAGCAAAAAAACACGTTTGATAACGACACAAAATTTCTATTCCCGAAACAAAAATTGTTTGATAATGGCACAGAATTTCTCCCTCTTAGGTGATCGGCGAGTGGACGGTGGATGGATGGACGGAGGCGGACGGCGGATGACGGGAGGCAGATGGTGGCAGCGAACGGCGGGCGGCGGCGGGCAACGACGTAGCCAGTGCGGAGGACGGCGGCTAGAGGCGACCGGCGTTGGGCATCGGTGGGAGGGGGCGACAGCAAGAGGAGGGCGGACAGTGGCAGCGAACGGCAAGCGGTGGATGGTGGAGGGAGGCGGCGGCAAACGGTGACGCAGCCAGAATGGAGGACGGCGTCTGGAGGCACCTGGTGTCGGGCAACGGCAAGAGGTGGGTGACGGCCGACGGCGGGAGGGGGGTGGCAACGGGAGGAGGACAGACGATGGCAGCGAATGGCGGGCAGCGAACGATGGGGGGAGGCGACAGCAGACGGCGACTTGGCCAGTGCGGAGGACGATGGCTGGAGGCGACAGCAGACGGCGACTTGGCCAGTGCGGAGGACGATGGCTGGAGGCGGTCGGCATCGGGCAGCAGTAGGAGACAAGCGACGACCGGCGGCGGGAGGGGGGCGGCGGCGGTAGGAGGGCAACGGCGGGAGGAGGGCGATGGGAGGCAAGTGGCTGGCGCCGGGAGACGGTGGCTGGCAGACAACGGGCGGCGGCCCACAGTGGAAGGCAGTGGGAGGAGGGCGACAGCGGGAGGTGGCCGGCGGCCGGAGACGGTGGCCGACGGACGGCGATCGGCGGCCCATAATGGGCAGCGACGGGAGGAGAGCAGTCAGCGGCGGGAGATGGTGGCCGGAGGCCCATGGCGGGACAGGAGACGACGAAGGTAGGAGGCGATGGCAGGTAAGTGGGCGGCGATGGGCAGTAGGTGGACGACTGGCTAGTAGTGAAGGCGAGCAATAAGAAAAATTTCTCATTTTTGTTCCAAAAATAGAAAAGTAGAAAATTTTTACTTCTTATTTTTGTTCCAAACCTATTTCTGAAATCAAAATTTGTTCCAGAAATTGAAAAATGAAATTGCGTTACAAAACGGATTTCTGTTTCAAACTTGTTTCTGAAATAGAAAAATAGAAACAGAATGGTTATCATTCGCAACCTAATTAATAGAGACTTGTGAAAGAGAGGGATTGAAAGGTGAGTGATACATACAGGGCAAAAGGACACCGGTTTTACTCCAAGCAAAATTCATGGGTCAAAAGAAACGAGGGAAATCGTCCATAAATACATATACTTAATATACCGCGAAATTATACAATTCTAAATTTTTTTAATTGTTCCTACTTAACCTCAAATCTTTTGATGATTTATCAATTTAGTCATTCCTGCTAATTTTCCGTTATAAAATATTTATATTAAATATGTTAATTGTTAATAAATCTTTACATCATTGTCTATCTATTATTAAACACAGGGTTAACAATTAACTTGTCATCGAGAACAAATGACTAAAATTTTTAGCTTCGATTGGGGTCATTCAACATATTAGCCAGCTCTTCCCATCCAACATTCACAGCTTCTTACATAACATATTTCTGCTGCATTACAATCTCATCCGAATCATATGCTTTTCTTTTTCCTCTATATTTTCAGTAGACATATATCTTCCAAATCTAATAATGAAATTCCAGCAAAGTTAAATAAGTAAACCTGGAGTATTTCATTACGAGTTCAATTCATGCGTGGCTACTCGCAAGGAAGAAGAAAAGGACTACGACAAATCATAATTTATTTTTATTTTGTACAAGTTTGTCATGTCTTACTTTTAGTGTTAACAAAGATGAGCAACATCAAGAAGAATGGATCTCTCTCATCTCTGTTTGATGTGGAATAATGAAACTTGAAGCAGGTTTGAACCCACCTGTTTGGTTACATGAATTAAACCAAACATTCCGATAGCTAATCGATCCTCATTAGGGTTTTCCTAATAGACCACCAAATTTGGTCTCTGGATGATTCTTTCTTTCTAAAAATGTAATAAACACGTATGGATACAGAAGGCCCCGTATAGAGTAAAAGTCAGCATAGAAGCTAAATGAACATTACAGAGATCAAGACACCTTATCAGTCAAAATTGAAGAGCCAATGTTTGCCCTTAAGAAAGCTTGAGAGACTGGAGGGCGACACCATTACTGGCGGCTTGCACACGCCCCCACCGTCCTAGACGGGGTTCCTGCTCCAAAGAAAACGGAGAATTAACATTAGTAGCGCGGTAGACAACAATTATTAGAACAAGATCGTACAACTTTAGGCCATGTGGACTCTATAGTGCCGAAAAGAGAGCTATTTTAAACTGATTTTGGCAAGTGAGGATCAGTTCGAAGATTGCATTTTGAGGAAGAAACAAACAAAACAAATCTGATTTAGTATGTTCAAGTTGTCCATCCTACAACTACTTGTAAAATTATTCTTAAGTTTCTTGAAATAAAGCGGCTGCAACAATCGACAGCATCATCTAGAAACCTTAAAAAATGAAGATCGTTTTCGGTCGGTCTCCATGAATTAGCACACCAATGGACACTGGCTTCTACCTTAACAATGCAATAGCTCTTCAATAGATACTTCCACATAGGCCCACATTTCCAGAAACTACTTAAAAAATGTTCCCGCATGATAGGCAACACATATAATGGGCGGAGTCACACTGCTACGTTCTACGAGAACTGACACAAACACACGGACAAGCATATGACACCCCACCACGAAATGAAGCATGAAGTACCAAGGGATAAAAACAGAAATTAGGCCCATTTGCAGTCACATTAAGAGTACATACGATCAATGAGACATTCGAGAACAAGTAAAAGACGTAAGTCTGCAGCTTATCCCCAAGATCTCAACATTTATCATCAAACTTCTAGGCAAAAAGTTAACTTTCCACCTCTATGCAAAATGTAAATTTAAAATATCTCTCTCTCTCTCTCGCCCCCTCTCGCAATGCATGTAAGTTTTCTTCTTGTGTGCCCAAGGACACTTGAGTAGTCTTAAACTCAGAAACTTCTAATTGCATCTTCAATGTATCAATTCCTATTATGGGACCAAACAACCAACATGCACAATATATAATGGTTCAATATGAAGTTTCAAATGCGATTACTGCATTAGTAGAAGAATAACAATGGGGTTTTCATTCCCGAGATGAAAAGAAAGACACTCAATTAATTATTCCCATTCCCCATGGTTTCGTGTTGATTGCTACACTTCTATTTTAAATTTTAATCGGCTGATTCCGACTCATGATCTTAGCTCCATTAACTGATCAACTTCCAAAACGAAACAATCCAACAAGAGACACCAGGTGCAATGATAGTCTAATAACAGACTACCATGACAATTTGACTGACATCCTTGTTGTCATTAACTCTCAATAGTCAAATAGCATTCGTGCTTTGAGGGCAACATTTTATCAAGAAGATGTCCTGATCATCTCTGTTCTTGTGGACAGAGTAGCAGGATATTATGTGGGCATTTTGCACTCTAGTACCTTTTCATCAGGTTGAACTTAAGTTTCCAGACTAAATTGGATCAATAAGTGATATAGGGATCAGGGAGCTCAGATTTAGGGGCTATTTTATCATTTTCGCTGACAGATAAACTGATTAATCAGTTATTAATTACTTTGCTCATCCATACAGAGAAATATATATTTTCTAGCTGACCAGTGTGCCATCACTAAACTGAAAGCATGATGAAAAAGAGATGCTACTAGGAAAGCACCAAAACAATGACTCCTTGCATCATTGAAGATTTTCCAGTATCCTATTACTTTCCATAAATTCTTTCCTCAGTGGTAGGTATCTATAAGCCATCAATTTTGCTTTCAGTCAAGAAAGGTACTTTAAGAATGGAGAAAGGATATTAACTTATGTAGTCACATGAATTAAGTAAAGGGAAAGCACAACCTGTCCAACTGCCGCCACAAGGAACTCCCCGGATTTTGCAAATGCCAATGAATTGACAAATCCAACCTGTTACCAAAATTTCTGTCAAATGGATGCAGCGACCGAAAGAGAGGGCTGATTTCGTTCAATTGCAGACTATATAATAGAGGAGAGACTAGATTCCATAATAGGAAGTAAAGGGGTGGTTGCGGTTTTCAATAGTTGAGCCATAAAGTTTGGGTTTAATTTATCTGACCAGGTCCTACCAGAGAAAAATTTTTACCACAATATTGTTAGTTTTCATTGTCTTCAAGATAAACGCCTATGTAAAAGTTCCCCTTACATTCAACAATAAATCGACCAACAAGACTAGCATAATGCATTATGAATACAAAGGAAAGATGGCTTCTCTTCAAGTTCACTTCCCTAGGGCTTCTCTAAATTTCAACTGGAGATATCTTACTGGTGCAAGGATCACCCAAATTGGGGGCTCATGATAAGCAAAGTACGGACCCACACACTCTTCCTATTGATGTCATTTATAAGGGAAAAAAAATCCTGCCTTAAGAGCTCCAAAGAATTGAGCCAGGATGTTAAAAAATCATTCAAGCTCCTCCACATAAGCACCGGGTTGGTCATTGGAACATTATACAAAAAAAATTATTGACTTTCCTATAGGTTAAGTGACACAAAATTCAACGAACATTAAATCTTCAACCCATGGTTGCCGAAAAGGAAATCTTCACATCTATCGAAAAAACATCATATACAATATCGAATTTCTCATATTATTATGACTTAAGAGCCTATAAAGCCCTAGTGGTTCCCTAAGGAAAACCATGTCTTGGCTATGATGAGCCTTTATCTTCTATTAGGAGACTAAAAACAAGACTCTCAAATAGTAAGCTAACGTCAACAAACAACCAAGTGTATGATGGCCAAGAGGAAATCACTATAATCACCAGATGCAAATCATTGCTCGAGAAGCATATTGGAGAAAACTTTGATTTGTTAGAAATCTCGATTTGTGATTAAAAAAAAAGGTAATGTGACACTACAGCATACCAGTGGAAGATCATATAAGGGCTGAATATCTTTGGTCTCACTCCCAATAGCCCACAGACGAACATAACCATTTCCAGCGCCTGAGGCGGCAAGATCACTACCTCTGCACACACTGACTGAACTCACCCATGAATATGCTGTTGAATGATGATTGTTTTCAAGATTAGATTCCAAATTCTCTGCAAAGAGATATCATCAAAGTAAAATTAACTCTCAAGTTACTGAAAGGAAATAAAATAAAATTAATAGCTTCAACTTCCATAAAGTCAATATTTATAAGATGCTTTTCAAACAACAAAAGATTAAAAAAAACATAAGCCGGTCATTGAAAATGGGAAGGATGACCTTTTTGGAACAGGAAATTGTATATATCTTTTATACGTAAAGAAGAGTTAAAAGTTTTTATTTGTCCCATACAGAAAAAAATCAGCACCAACTAATGAAGGTCGATTGGGAATATTGAACACCTGAAGAACGAAAATCAATCACCACCAGATGGAACAGTAAAACTGAAAGAATGTTAATCTAAGCTCTACCTGCGTGACCGTTGGGGGTTTTTCCGCCATCTCTGTTATCAAGCTTATTGTCCTCAAGTAAGAAAGGATGAGCATTCTTAACAATGTAAACAGGTTTCTTTCGTAGCATACTCCAGAGCTCGAGACTTCCATCATCCGAGCCAGTCAAGTATTCGTCATTGCTAATAAAACAACAGCATTCTAAAGATGATGCCGGAGCTCTGAAAACTATTCTTGTCTCTTCTGGAATCTGCTTACAGAGGCGGAAAGCCATGAAACCCAATATTTTGCAAACAATAAGCATGATAATATTTCTTCGAGAAGTGTAAAGAAGCACCAAGAAATCTCAATGACAATCCTAACATGCAGATTTGGTATATGAGAATCGTAGTATTCAAATGCTAAGAATTAATGTCGTGCTCAACAATAAAAATGAAACATCAGCTCTGACTCTATGATTGACAAATTATCAAGTAAAGGCACTCAAAACCATTCTCCCCTAGAAAAAGTATTCCGTGGCCACCTCTCTACAGTAACCATTTATGTCGCTGCTGTTAAGTTGCTATTTAGACTTCTTGAAAGACCTTAAGAAATTTAAAGCAGTTCTATTCATATAAGACATACAATATTATATATTATTATGTGGAGATAAAGTTGCGTTTATTAAATAAATTTATAGAAGGGAAGGTGTAGATTCTAAAAGCAAAGGGTAATATAAAGTCATTATGTTTTATATACTTCTCAAAATTCTCCAAAAAGACCACCTTAAACCCCAAGTTACTGTTCTCATGTACTGTTTGTAGCCCAAAAACAGTGTCTTCAGATCAGATTGAATCGGATCTGATTTTACCCCATCAGCCTGTACTGTTACAATCATGATCTAACCCCAACTCTTTGAAAAATATAAAAAAGAATCTAGTAAAAGAAACAACCAAGAAATCAGAATCCAAAACCAAACTGCTTTGAGGAAGTGCATACCAAGATCACCTAGACACAAACCACCCCATGCAAAACGAAATCAACTCATCGAATTGCCAACTCTAAATTATAAATGAACCAGCCAACATAACCAGTCTAAACAAACACTAGAACATGACTAATTACTCAGTTAATTTGCAGATCATTTAAATAGAACTAAACAAACCAAACAACCAAACGATTAAAGGTCAAATTTCACCTTAAACAATTGCATTGTCCGATCACGCCCGACAGTCAAAACACGTTCCTTTCTTAAGCAATCTATAGTTAGAACTTCACTTTGGTGGCCAAACAAGGTGTTAATGTAAGCTCTGTCATCCGTGTTCCACATCTTGATTGTTCGATCAAAAGAACCAGAGAAAAGTTCCGAAGTCCCTTGCCTATAAGTTAAACAAGACACTGGTCCTCTATGACCTGGAAAAGCCTGCAAGTTGTGGCGATTAGATTAAAAGTAAACCCTTACATTCAACATGAGTGCATTCTAGTAAACAAAATACATGACCAAGCTGCAGCAACCATTCTCAGCACCTGATTGATTAACTAATCCTTGCACAACAGATAATCAGGACAAAAGGAATGCTTCTAAGAAGCTAATTCCTGGAGTTCCAACGGAGGAATCATGTAAGAAAATTGTGCAAATGAAACATGGAGGCAATTTGTGGGCAACAGTGAACTGCTCTCGCGAGAAGTTTGATCCCCCAGGGCGTCGCCCTTAATCATTTGAGATTGTATTCAGCACGTATACGTATGTACATAGGTTTATCCTTTCCCAAGGACCGGATTTCCTCTAGGATAAGTTCAAGTTAATTGTGCTCCAAAATAGAACCATGAGTCCCTACAAGACAAACCAGAGAAGGAGATAATTACCTGAATGTGCTCGCGTGTCCGAGTATCCCACAAATGAACATGGCGGTCTTGGCCTCCACTGGCCAAATATCTCCCATCCGAGCTAACAGCCAAAGCTAAAACATGTTTACTATGCTTTTTGGCTCGACCTTGCGGATCCTTGGTTCCGTGAGACCTCAGTGTTTCCTCTCTCGGCCATACGTACCTTTCACTTTTTCCACTGCTCACATCCCAATGCAATATGGTACCATCCTTTGATGCCGAAAAGCCCCTCAAGTCATCCGCAGACAATGTTACAGCCGTTACAGAATGTCGGTGCTTTACTAAGGTGCAAAAGTTATCAACTGTCTCTGGCCTTTTAACCCTGCCACATGAAAGTCAAGATTTTCATTACCCAAATATCATATGAGATGAGTCTTTTATTTCAGCAAGAGAAAGTGCGTGAATTAATGATTTAGCCTTCTTATTAAGAGAATCAATTAACCATTCAAGGACTGAATATTTTGAAATTAACCAGTCTTTGGGAGAAATTCACCAACAGAGCTGATTAAAACGTCGGATGTTAGATAAAGAAAATATAAAGCACGCTAAATAATATATGAGTACAATTAGTTGCATACTACAGTCACTGGGAGAAAATCTCCAAGAGAGCTGATTAGGACGTTGGATGTTAGATAATAAAAATACAAAGCATGCTGATAATATTCCAAGTGCAGCTAGCTGCAAATGCCAAAGAGCACAATAACAACATTAGGCATACGCAGTCATGCTTTCACACATTGGTAGCGATTATATTACGATCATTATATCATCAATAATACTCTTTTTCGAAAAGAAAATGACCCTGAAGTAATTTGGACCAGATGAGTATCATAAGTTACTAGAGAGCAGTAGATAATCCATATTTTAACCTCCTATTGACACCCACTTTCTACAAGGTGTTCCTTAGAGGTAGCTAGTAGAAGAGTGGTAGTTACCAGCGAATCCAAAGTGCAAGAACAGGAAAGTTATCAGTTCTTCCACCTTGAGAGGGGCACAAGTAGTAGTTAGTAATTTATTTCTTATTTTCGATGGTAGGAGGTTAGTTGATTCCACATACACAAATGTATGCTTTGCACGTATAGAATAATCCCCATTCAGACAAACACAACATCATGTGAATTTCCTTTACTGTTCCCTTCAAGCTGTTTCCGTCTTTCCACAAGTAATTTCATCATTCCTGCACTTAGAGAAGCGGCATTACTAGGAGCAAACTATCTATATGCCCAATCTCCAAGCTTGATGGGACCATCAAAAAACTGTTCTGCCTTTTGTCTAAGCAGTTGGATGGCCCAAAAAGAACTTTGTCAACCCATCCTTTGCGAAGAAATCGAGTTCAAAATCAGCATCCTCTCGCTATCTCAAGAGCATATAGTTAACCACTCAATCAGTATAGTTAGCAGGGCGAAAGTGATTGACACATCATATGATAGTACACGCAGCTTAATTCAATTAGCAAGGTCCAATTAAACACGAAAAAACAGAGCACATTCCGCAAAATTGTGATCTTTAACCAATCACACGATCGCTAGCATTGCTAAATGAACAAAAGAGCGACCAAAAAAGGCACCTGGAAGCGATTTGCCGGCGGACTCTCCCGCTATCTTCGAGCTGCTCCTGCTGCAGAATCTTCGAGACGAGCGAATCCCGGACCCCGTCCCTCTCTCTTCCCCCGAACTCATCCTCCTCCCCCTCCTCCTCCTCATCCTCCTCCTCGCCCGCATCGCCGTCTTCCTTCTCCCTCCTCGCGATCGCCCGGATCCTATCCAGGTACTCCTTGGCCACCCGCTGCCGCCTCTCGTCCGCGGTCTCCCTGTCGAACTCGGACTCCTCCGCCTCCCCCGCGACGCCCTCCTCCTCCTCGCCGCCGGAGGAGGCGTCGCTGGCTATTATATCGTCGTCGCCGCCGCCGCCGCCGTCGTCGTCGTCCTCGACCCGGCGCCGCTTCTGGTGGCTGAAGAAGGGGTCGTCGTCTATGGAGTGCTTCTTGCCGCCCCTCTTGTGTACCTTGGCGCCGCCTTTATTCTTCTTGGAGCTCTTGCCCTTCAGGGTCGGCATGTCTTAGCCAAAGCCAATGTGGGTTATCTTCTTCTTCTTCTCCTTCTAGTGATAGAGAGAGAGACAGAGAGAGAAATGGAGGAAGGTGAGGGGGATTAGGGTTTAGGGTTCTGCAGACAAGAAGGGCGAGGTGTCCCGGGAGAGAGGCGGCAAGTGTCGAGGTTTAAGATGGACCCCAAACTATTACCATCCTTTTTTATTCAGAAAAATATATATAAAAAGAATATTTAAAAATAAAAAATAATATTAAGGTTTTTTCCCTCAAAATAAAATTAAACTCTATTCGAAATCATTCTCTTTATATATATATATATATATATATATATATATATATATATATATATATATATATAATTGAAGTCGGAATTCAGAGACTACTTGCTTCTTAGGGGTGATTGGTTCCCAGTCCGGTTAGATTCCAAGGTGAAACGGAGAACTGGTCACTTTTGTTTTTGCGCTACTTAATGTCATCTGTTTTGAAATTGGAATTGTGTCCTCCACTACTTTTTTTAGAAAAAGATCTGAGTAAAATGACCCTAACGATGTGCTTATATATTCTACGATAAACAGAAATTCATAAATTGCAAATTGAAAACAATAAACTAAACTCACTAATCATCAAAAGATAAGGATTATTTTGTAACCATGAATGATCAAACATTAGTAATGATCCTCAAATTGAAAATAAGAACCAAAAAGCGTACTTAACTTAGGATTTAGTTCACATTTTACTAATTTTTTTGAATATATATATGTAGTCGGTCGGCCTAATTCCAAAAAAAAAAGCATCAACTTTAGGTCGAGTGACAATTCTGGCCCCAACTTTTTTTGTCTCATAAAAAATTATCAACTTTTACTTAAATCCCAAATTTGGCAGACTTGACTTAGAACATTGATTATCCAATTTGACTATTCCACCTCAGCAATAAATCCACGTGGCTTCCTGACTGGATTTGAAGCACTATTCATTGTCTTCTTCTTTGAGCCAGAACTTGAAGAATAACGTTGAAACTGTTCATTTCCTTTACTTCACCGGTAAGTAAAAACAATCTCGAGATTGAATCTCTTTGGTCAAACTTCGTCGTTTTGTCATAATTTAAAGTTGTAGACCACCGCCCGTCGAGAGACACCATAGACGAGACTTGCCAAGCTCATGACCATAACATTTTTTCTCAAACAAGGGTGACTTTAGACCGAAAATCAATAGGGGGCTAAATTTGGGATAACGGTGAAAGTTGATGTTTTTTTAGGATAAAAAAAAAAATTGGGTCAGAATTATTACTCGACCTAAAGTTGGTGTTTTTTTACAAGAAAAAAAAAGTCTGGGCCAGAATTGTCATTCGACCTAAAGTTTGTGCCTTTTTTTTTTTAATTAGCCCGTAGTCGGTCTGGTCCGGTCGGTCCAGTTCCCTTTCCTGGACACTTGTTCCACTTTTAGAAATCGGGAATCGGACCCCAGCCGGTTCGATCTGATCCGGACGATTCCCAATTTTTGCACACCCCTATTGCTTCTGTGCTTATTAATCAACACTTCTCCTTATAGTTTTGTGCTCGTCACGTGGCATGGCACATGGCATTATTTTGCCATGTGACTCGGTAATCTTACCGAAACTTTGATATGTCAACTTACGCTTGTATATATTGCTTCAAGATAATATTTAAAGTGACGGTTCAAACACATTCAACATTGTAACGAAATGTAAACTATAGATGTTTTAATATTCCGGAAATGACACAAATAGTCCATGAACTATGGCCGAATGTGCAATATGATCCTTGAACTTTAATTTGTTCAATGTGATCCTGAACTTTAACCAATGTGCAATGTGGTCTTTGAACTTTTAATTTATTTTAATACAGTCCTTGAACTTTTAATTTATTCAATGTAGTCCTTGAACTTTTTATACTTATTCAATATAGTCCATGAATTATATAAAAATGTTTAATGTAGTTCTTCTATTAATTCAATAAGCAGGGACTACATTGAAGATGTGACAAAAGTCTAGGGACCACATTAAAAAAAAAAAAATTATGGGCCACATTAAACATTTGGCTAAAGTCCATAGACTATATTGAACAAATTAAAAGTTCAGTAATCACATTGCATATTGAGCTAACGTTCAGGGATTATTTGTGACATTATCCCTTTAATATTTGATAAAAAATTAATATCTTGTGTTTTAGCTAGAATCACTCCAATTTGATATTTATTCGAACTTAGATTGTGTTTATAAATAGATAGTACAAACTACATTACTTGTCATCTAAATACAATTTTTACATAGGTTAGTAGGTCTCCTTTTGCTTTTTCTTGACCTTTCATGTTTTAGTATAAAAAAAAAACTTTTCTTGTTTAAAGGCTCGAGCGGGTGCATAAGGTTTTTTTTTTCACCTTCATAATTTTCCCTAAATTTTTTACGAAAAATTGTTAACACACAATCATTTATTAACCAAGAGTGCTGCAAATTTGAGGAAAATGTCTCTTTAAAATTGCAAGAGCACATAAAAATTTTTCTAATTAATGGTAGAATGTGTTTAAAACTTCAAAAATTCGGATGATGCTGAAAATCAATGTATTACACATATAATCTATAGTTTTATCCACTTTCTCCATTTATGTAGAATTTACTTCTCATATATATTGGGAGGAGGCAGCATGTTCATCCAAATCCACCCGTTTTTCAAGGTTTGTGAACTTAGTGTAACGGGAATTGAAAATTACATGGGAAGTGAACCAACTAATGAAGCATACGAAGTAAAATTGTCAATTTGATTTGTTAATTTTTCGCTTTTGATTATAAATTTGAGCCAATAATATATAACGATAAAATAGAAAAAATTATATAATTAGTTCTAAAAGTATCGTACGGATGTCAATTCAGTCATAAATTTTATCAATTTAGTCGTAAATCTTAACGCTAAATTCTCATTAATCCTTTTTGCCAATTTTCGCCGAAATTCGCTGACGTGGCAGTGTGCCACGTAGGACGGCCGAGAATGACTAGACCATCACACATTAGCGATTTCTAGTAAAAATTGACCAAAATAACTATATTAGAATTTCGCGCAAAGATTTAGGACTAAATTGGCAAAATTGAAAAGTTATGAAATAAATTGACATTTTTGTACGATAAGTTTAGGATTGATAGGGTATTGTTCTTGGATAAAATATCTCAATATATACTTTCGATATAGATCATAAGATAACATTATCCATTTGATTTAAATTCGAAGTAAAATTAGAAATATCTCACCATGCAAATAACAGAAAAAAAACATAGTTATCCTGAAATTGTTGATGATAGCAAACTATATCTGATTTAGTAAATAACATTATGACTCATGTAATATCATATAACAACAAAATTTATCTTTTAGCTTATTTATCATTCATTCGCCAACTTTTGTCACTCTTGATTTTGAATCGATGGATTTAGATTTTAAAAAAAAATCTTCTAAAATACAATTATAAGAGTAAATAATTGAGGATATTTGGTTGAATAAATAATTGAGGATAATTTGTATAATAGTATAAATGATTTTATTTATTATTCGGGGATGAACTCTAAAATTCATCTTAGCAAAGTGCATGGGTTTTTATTGAATTTCATAAGAAAAGTTCGAGATGGAAATTCTGCTTTGAATTTGTTTTAAGGGTTAATACCACAAAAAACCTCAAACTGGTATACTTGTGATAAATTTACCCCAAACCAATTTTTTGACCATCAAAAATCTCAAACTGCTACACCTGTAATAATTTTACCCCAAACTAATTTTTTGACCACAAAAAACCCCAAACCGGTATATTTGTGACGAATTTACCCTCCGTTAGTTTCAGTTAAATTAGATTAATGCAAAAAAAATCACAAAGTGGTACACCTGTGATAAATGGAGGATAAAACCCAAAATTGGTATATCTGTCAACTACCGCGTGTCATTTAACAAAGCAATTTAACAGTAAAATTTAACAGAAACTAACGCAAGTTAAAATTGTCACGAGTGTACCAGTTTTGGGTTTTTCATGGTATTAACCATTTGTTTAATGTGTAGTAAATATAGTTGCCCATAAAGTTGTATGGGGAAAACAATGTTCCTTTTGGTGCCAATGGTTTTGATTTGGTGTAAAAAAAATGCGAGACTTACTTTAAAGGAAAAAGTAGAGATAGTGATTAATTGTGAAAGTGTAGCAAACGAAATTACGAATTGAGTCTCTTATGTATGTGTGGCTCCATGTCAATGCATTTAAACAATAACATGAAAACAAAGAAGAGGGACTATATTTGGAGGCATCATCCACTTATTATTTATCCAATTTGGTCTTTTTCTATGGATTTCTCGTAAGGCGAACTTTCGCCCATCGATCCGATACATTTAGGTTTTCATTATCGCAATCTTTCCAATAAGGCTAGTATTCAGACTCTAGGATAATGAGCAAACTCCCTTGTCATAGCTCGTAAGATAATTTGTGTTTACACATACTTCTGTTGGGTCAATTCTTCCCTTAAATTTTTATATTTGAAAGTCCATGCTTGTATTTATATTTGCATATGTTTATCTATTAAGTTGTTCCATTTTTAATTTCTCTAATTAAGTACTTGACCTTGCATAATTTTTCTAATCACATCACTCTAAGCTCCAAATCTAGGCTAATGTCTAATTGTATTCAAAGTGTCGGTGGAGACCGGTTGAGATTTTCATTCCTAAGTGTTTAACCTCACGCATCGATTGATAGTCCCTAACGGAAAAAGAATTTTCACCTTGTCTTTCCCAAGGTACATATCTCCCCCAATCAACCGAATTTGAGGTCATAGGGACATCATTAGAAAAGAAATGCAAATTCATCGACTTAATTAGACAAAGTTGAATTTCGAGGAGTTGATTAGGAAAAACAGTGCACAAGTTTAGAGATTACATCAAAACCTTGATCGCCCCTTTTTTCTTGTTTTGATCAACAGTAATGATACAATCTCCGACTCAGTAGATAAAAGCAACTTATTTTTGCTATATAATTCAAGCTAGACAAAGCCGTAATATGAAATAATTGTAGATGGTTCGACACATTAAAATGGCTATTTGCAAAAAAAAACAAAAAATAGATGAATAAACAATCAAACTGTATATAGAAAAATTGTGGAAAAAGTGGAGAACAAAATTGTTTAATTTTACCATTGGAAAAAATTTATGATGAGCTTATATGATCCCAAAAATGCCACTAATAACTATAATAACAGAAATTAAAAAAAATGATCCTAATACTTGGAGGTCATAATAGCACGTAGAACTGAAAAAAGAGATGATTGCTGCATCAATATACTTCATATCGCGGTACAGAAAAACAGATCTCAAGAAACAGAAAGATAACGAAGCTCACAGTAATTTCGACGAACCCTGTCGAGAATGTACCAAAAAACTTTACAGAAAAATCGATCAAGATGTACCAAAAACCAAGGAGCCCGCCCTGATTTTCACCAAGTTTTTCGCCAAATTACCCAAGATCTTGGGCTAGAAAAATGGAGCTCTCTGCGGGTTTTTCTGCTTTCTTGGTCGTTTCCTGAACGACTGCACATTGCTAGCACTCCCCTCTGGCTCTGATATCGTCGCCACCTTCCTCTTCGCTTCGTTCTGGACACTTCCACTTCCGTTCATCTTCATCGCGGCCTCAACCTACGAAGGAAAGAACAAAGAAAGAACGACCCGCGGGTGAGAAAACGATGCACGATATAGGTGGATCGAGACCCGGTTCGTTCAAAGGGATGTGCTCGACTGAATCGTTACCTTGCATTCCACGGAGCAGAACTTGGCGTCCGGCGACTTGAGCCGGTACCGGCAAGACTCGCACCCCTCGAGGTCACCCTGGCCGCGGGAGGGAGCGGTCCCGTCTCCCCTTTTGTATATGAACGCCACGAGGCACCCGTTTTGAGTGTATGGACAGATATCGGAAGTATCCCACAGCGGCTCCAAGTCCTCCATTCTGAACGACGCCTTTTTTGCAACTTTATATGACTGAAAAAGGGGCCAAGAATCCTAAATGAGGAAAAGAAATCCTGGTTTCCCGTTTTCTTGATCATGAAAAGATGAAAGAGCAGCAGTATACTTCGCATTCTCGCGTCACACGCCGATGAAACGATTGCTGTTACGACTGCAGAAGCGAAGACGGGTTCGAAATGGAAGTTAGTAGTACCTTTATGATCTCGTGCTCGGGAAGATCATGTTGCTTCTTGCACTCTTTGCACAGAGCGACCATGCAGACTCTACAGTAGAAATTGCGCTCTTTGGAGGAATGAGCCTCGCACGGGCTATAGAACTCGATGTCCGCGATCGGCCTCAACCATGGCGGAACCTTGTTCTTCTGATCATCTCTAGATGAGACCATCGTCATGCCTTTGCCCGTCATTTTCGCGGCTGTTCTTTCTCCCTTCTCCCTCGCTTCTTCAATCCGATGAAGACGAAAACCCTAGAAGAAGAAGAAGGAAGAGAGACGGTTGCAGAGAGATGTTTATAAAATATTGATATTGACGGAGAGGAAACGAGAGGGACTTCGCTAAACGCTAGAGTAACCGTGGTGTGAATAAACGAACCGGTAGGGTTTAAGTTTATATAGTAAAAAAAAAAATCTAGCAAAAAAATAAAGGAAAAAGAGAGAAATAAAAAGGAATCAAATTAAACATTGGATTTAAGTTTAATATTTCTCGAAAAATGATGGGGAAATACGGAAAATGGAGAATAACTTTTTTCATAATTTTCGTTTATCATATCACAGAACAGCTCGATTAGTCCATAACATCAAATATTGAACAAACTGTAATTCGTTATTTTCTAGGATTCTCATTATAAGATAACTAACTGAAACCGTTTACAGTTAGTAGGTTGAGAAAACAAACCGCACGCGTCCACCAGGGGCCAACTTCTAAAAGCCAGCTCAGTCATGCTAACATTTTCAAATCTTCAATCGGAGATTATGTCATTTTTTTTGTTTAGTTTGGAAGAAGTGTTTAAGAAAGAAAAAATAATTCAAATAAGTATAAGAGAAAAAGAAAGAATGGTATTAAGAGATTTAATTATACTGTTGATTGGATGCTAGAGGATGGGAAAAAGAAAGAAAAATGGTGTACAATTACATTAATGTCCGCTAATATATTTTTAGATATATGAAAAATAAGAGCATGAATGAGAAAATCGATTTTAATATGTTTATTAGTACACAAATCACTCCGAATTCCTTCGCGTTTAGAGAGATTCGGAATGAACTAGAAATGTGTATAAAATCGACAATTTTATAGACAAAACAGCTCGATTGTCCATTAATTATATCGAATATTGAACAAACTGTATTTATTTATTTTCTATGATTTCTCATAACAAAATAACTAATTGAACCCGTTCACACTTAGTGAGTTAGTGGCTTGAGAAAACGAACCGCACACGTCCACCAAGGTAAAACCGGATCACTTAAGTCAGCTAGGAACCAAAGCATATTTGTCCATTTCTTGGTCTAGTTCCTACTCGAGAATCGGGAACCGAACCGCATAGTATAAATTCTAAAAAATATGGAACTAGGAATCAGACCGAACTTCGCCAGAATCCGGAATCAGACCGATTTCCGGTTCTACTCTGGAACCATGCTTATCTCTAAGTGGGAGTGCAACCGAGCTGACTTTCGAACATCTACATGTTTGCCCTTGTAGGAGTATTCCACTATTAGCATTATTAGAGTGGACATGTGAAGCTTCTTTGTTATCTTTTTATTTTTCAGAAAAAAAATTCTATTGCTATAAATTATTGCGAACGGTTTGACATATTAAAATGGCTATTTGCAAATGAGATTGATAAAAAAAAACCAATCAAATTGTATTGAAAATAAATTGTCGAACAAGTAGAAAATAAAATTATTTAATCAGCATTTCTTAGAATTTTATATCTGCCTACATTTGTTTTGATTGATATTAAGTACCTAATTTCATACCACTACCAGTCCGCACATTGGTTACAAATACTAATAGAACTCATAGATATTTTATCTACAAGGTTTAGTGAGTTGCACCTATAATAGGACTTGGATTGGAAAAGGACTTACCTCACCCGCCGTAATAGTAATAATTTGTCGATTGAAAAATACGCGACTTTAATAAATATTTTAGCGGATATTTATATTTTTGTTGTCCGGATTGCAATGATGGACTTGTCAACCTCGAACCTTCGCCATTCTATAATTATTCTTCATTAGTACTGAAAAACAATGTAGACCATCATGCTAGCATCTCCCGAAACTCGTTTATTGTGAGTTTTTTTAAACTTGCCCATCCTAAAGTTTACGAGTTTTTAGTTCACCGACTATGGATACTGACAAGAAGCACGTGCTCTAGAGAAACTTAAAATTTTTCAAAAGAACGAGTCGAGTTTAAAAATATCTGAAGTCGAGATTCGCTTGGTTTATTCAAGAGCGCACAATTATTTTGCTAAAGTTGTTCGAATAGTGTTAGAATTTCCTTATTATGGCCGTAAAAACCAATTATTAAAAGAGCAGAAAACTTCTTTTTTAATTCGTTTTCAATTGCTGGTAGAACTGAAACCACGAGAGGTTAATGTTAAGTGATATACTCAGAAGAGAAAAACGAGTATACTTCATACTGGGGTAGAGAAGAACAGCGTTTATTTCGCTAATACATGGCGGATCAAGCGAATGCTAATAACGATTGAACATTGTAGCAGTTTCAATGAGCCCTATCAAGAAATGTATCAAGAAAACATTAAAAGAAGAATTAAACCATTTCCAATCTTCGGCTAATAGAGTGGAGCTCTTCGCGGGTGTTTCTGCTTTCTTGGTCGCTTCCTGAACGATTGAACATTGCTAGCAGAAGCACTCCCCTCTGATATGGCCTCTACCTTCTTCTTTGCTTCGTTATTCATACTTCCACTTCCATTCATCTTCATCACGGCTTCAACCTACAGAGGAGAAACGAGAAAGAACGACCCACATGTGAGAAAACGTTCTCGGACGTCGCGGAACGTTCTGAATTGATGCACGACGCAGGTGGATCGAAACCCGGTTCGTTCGAAAAGGCGTGTGCTCGACCGTATCATCGTTACCTTGCATTCCACGGAGCAGTACTTGGCGCCTGGCGACTTGAGCCGGTATTGGCAAGATTCGCACTCCGTAGTGCCGCTCTCACTGCTGGAGCGAGCGCTCCCGTCTCCTCTTTTGCGTATGAAGGCGACGAGCTTCTTGTTGGAAGTGTACTGGCAGATATCGGAAATATCCCACAGATACTTCAAGTCGTCCATTCTGAACGACACGTCTCTGCCAACTTTATATGCCTGAAAAGTTTAAAACCCAAGAACAAAAACTTATAAAGGGCAAAGAATTCGAAATGAGGAAAAGAAACCCTAATTTCCCGTTTCCTTGATCATGCAAAGATAAGAGCAGTAAACTGCACATTTTCGCGAGACACCGATGAAACAAATGCCGAGACGATTCGAAGTGGAAGTTGGTACCTTTATCATCTCGTGATCGGAAAGATCGTGTTGCTTCTTGCACTCTTTGCAGAGAGCGACCATGCAGACTCTACAGTAGAAATTGCGCTCTTCGGAGCGATGAGTCTCGCACGAGCTATAGACCCCGGCGCTCGCGATCGGCCTCAACCACAGCGGAACGACCTTCTCTCGATCATCTCCGGGCGAGACCATCATCGCATCGTTCCCCGTCATTCTTTGCGGCTGTTCTTTCTCCCTCTCCCTCGCCTTCTTTAACTTGATAAAGAACGAAACCCCAAGAAGAAGAAGAAAGAGAGATGGTTGCACAGATGCTACGAAATTGAGATTGAGAGGGAGAGAGAGGAAATGAGAGAAACTTTGCTAAAGCTCTAGAGTATCTGAGGGTGAATGAATGAATCGGTTGGGCATAAATTCATATGATAAAATAAAACAAAAATCTGGCAAAAAATAAAGAAAAAAGAGAGGGAAAAAAAAGGGAAAGAAAACAATAGTTATCTTGCAAGTTGCGACGTAATTTAACTATATGATTTTTGGTCTGTGCATATGTTAATTACGATTCACTCGAGTCCTTGGATTATATAATAAAAAATTAGCTACGACTTGTATTAATTTTAAAACGCAACAGCTCCGTTAGAATTGTATTTGATTGTTTTCTATGGTTTTCATTTGCAAAGATTGTGATTATATTTTTTGCTTTTTGGATTTTATCTATTAATAAAATAATTACGATCCGCCCTTGTCTTGAGATTATGAAAAAAACATAATCACGATTTGTGTTGATATATAACAATTAACATAACAGCTTCATCAATCCATATTTATTGGATTTTTTTTTGGGTCGGACATATTTATTAGATATTGAGCAGATTGTATTTGATTAATTTTTTTTTTATGATTTTCATTTACAATAACTGATTGAAACCGTTTTCAGTTATGTCCTGCAAACGTCCACTACCTAAGAGGGTAATAGCTCCATCAGGTGCAAACTTGTAATTGGATGCACCCGTTAGGAAGAAAAATAAAATAAAATAATTACGAGAAAAAAAAGAGGACCGATTTTAAGAGGTTTAATTATAATGTTGTTTGGACGCTGGCGAGGAAAAAAATAGGAAAAATAGCGTATAATGGCACTAAAGTCCTTTTATATATTCATAAATACGTGTAAAATAAGAGTAGAGGTGAGAAAGAAGAATAAACATGTTTATTTGATACACAACTCTTACCAAATCCCTTTGTATTTAGAGGGGTTCGGAGTGAATTAAAAGTGCGTATAAAATTGACTTCTTTCCGATCTCTCATAATCCCACGGGTAATCCTTTCCTTACGTCTCTTACCCTTCATTTGAAACGCAATTATATTTCGAGAGCACTTTTTTTCCCACCTAATTCCTCCTAACAAAGATATAGCCCATTTGGTTGCAGTAATAGAGTAAAGCTGTAACGTAATAGCCAATACGCTGTTTGGTTTAAGAGATGTAGTACCTATCATGCCGTTTGGTTTCATTATATCATACTTAATAAGGGCAGGCTAGCATAAGGATTCCCAAAGTACTCCTAAAATTAGAATTATGGACATATAACATTTATTACTTTAATAATCAATCATTTTTCATGAATTTTACAACCATATAAATTATCGGGCAAATACCATGAAAACCCCAAACTATTTATGAAAAAATTATCCCAAACTAATTTTTTGATCAACAAAAACTTCAAATTGATACAAATGTGACAATTTTACCCTCCGTTAGTTTTCGTTAAATTTTATTGTCAAATTTTTTAGTTGGATAACACAGTGTACCAGTTTGGGGTTTTACCTTTCGTTTGTCATAGGAGTACCGATTTGCGATTTTTTGTGGTATTGATCCAATTTAACGGAGGGTAAATTTATCGTGAATGTACCAGTTTGGGTTTTTTGTGGTCAAAAAATTAGTATGAGATAAATTTGTCACAGGTGTACCAATTTTATGCCAAATCTCTATTTCTCGAAAAATGATGAGTATATAAACGAAAGTTTTATGCTAATTCTCTATTTGCTATTCTATGCCTCTCTAAACAACTAGGAAAATACGTAAAATGGAGAATAATTTTTTCGATAATATCGTTTATCATATCACAAAACAGCTCGATTAGTCCATTATGTCAAACTGTATTTAATTATTTTCTATGATTTCTCGTTTTAAAATAACTAATTGAAACCGTTTACAGTTAGTAGGTTGAGAAAACAAACCGCACACGTCCACCTGGGGCCAACGTCTAAAAGCCAGCTCAGTCATACTAACATTTTCAAATCTTCAATCGGAGATTGTCATTTTTTTTTTTAGTTTGGAAGAAGGGTTTAAGACAGGATAAAGAATTTATATAAGTATAAGAGAAAAAAGAAGAAGAAAGAATGGTATGAAGAGATTTAATTATGCTGATGATTGGATGCTAGAGGATGGGAAAAAGAAAGAGAAAAACAGTGCGCAATGGCTGTCCGTTAATACATTTTTAGATACATGAAGAATAAGAGCACAAATGAGAAATTCGATTTTAACATGTTCATTAGTACATAAATCTTTCCAAATTCCTTCGCATTTAGAGAGATTCGGCATGAACTAAAAATATGTATAAATTTGACCGAGCTTATTCTCTCTAATTCCTCATAATTCTGCATAATCCTTTCTCTTCGTCTCTTTCCCTTCATCCAAACATGATTATTTTTGTAGAACGTTTTTCCCCCCGATTCCTCCTTACAAACTTACAGCCATTTTGGTTGCAATAATAGAATAAGACTGTAATATAATAGCGATTACGCTTTTTTGGTTTAAGTTATGTTACACATACAAGGGATATGTGCATTGGAAGTAAAATTTGTCACAAAAGTGCAATTAACTTGCAAAAAGTGCAATCAAGTCCTAAAACTTATCAAAAGGAAAATTACCAAAAAATTCATAAACCTATTGCAATTGTGTCAATTCAGCCATAAACCTTTTTTTTGTCAATTGAGTCCTAAACCTTTTATATTTATGCCAATTCAGTCCATCCAGCCAATTTTGTCCAGTTGGCGCTGATGTGGACGCCGTCCGTCCTACATGGCTCGACTGGCACTGACATGGACAATTTTTAATAATATTATAATTTATTATTTATCATTTTCTTTTCTTTTTCCTTTTTTTTATTTTCTTTCTTCTTTTTTTTCCTTCTTCCTCTAGCGACGGCGAGGTTGAAACCTCGCTAGATCTGGCGAGGCTCGCCCTCGCCCAGCGACGGCGAGTTCAAGCTCACCCATTCATAGCGAGGCTTGACCTCACTAGCCCATGCCTCTGGCTTGTCACTGAGGTCTAGCGATCGGCCAGATGAAGAAGGAAAGGTAAAAAAAACATAAAGAGAAAAAAAAGGAAAATAAAAGAAAAAATAAAAAATCGAAAAAATATTGTTTAAAAATTATCCACATCAGTGTTGGCCGTACCACGTAGGACGGTTGGTGTTCATGTTAGCTGAATTGGTATAAATGCAAAAGGTTTTGGACTCAATAGGCAAAAAAAAAAAGATTTAGGATTGAATTAGCACAATTACAATATATTTATGACTTTTTTGGTAATTTTTCCCTTATCAAAATAGTGCAATCAAATTCTTCCATTCATTCCATCCAACTTGGCTGATAGAAATGCTAACGCGCTTTTATTATTATTATTTTCTCTATCATAAGTGGCGATGACGTGATTAAATCGACATGATTTTGGTCCAAATATGATTTTTAATACAAATTTTATTTAAATTAAATTAAAAAAGCTAAAATTTTAAAAAAGAGTTAGAACTAGCCCTCGCCCTCCCCGTCCCACCATCGCTGGCCCTTGGCTAGGGCCCGGCAGCGGCGAGGGTTGCGGGCTTTGCAGCGTTGGTCGCTTGGTTCTCTCTCTCTCTCTTTCTCTCTCTCTCTCTCTCTTAATTAGCTTATTTTTTAATTTAATTTAAATAAAATTAATATTAAAAATTAGATCCAGACTAAAACAACGTAATTTTAGCTTTATATTTCGTGTTTTAGCCACGTCACCGCCACATAGGAGAAATGAAATATTAAAAAAAGTCACGTCGGCATTTTCTGTTAGCTAAATTGAGTGGAGTTAACGTAAGGATTCGATTGCGCCAATTTGACACATTTTAAGACTTGATTGCACTTTTTGCAAGTTTTAGGACTCAATTGCACTTTCATGACAAGTTTTAAGACTTCCGGTACACATATCCCTATATATTATGTTTTTTTGTTTCATTTATGACATATGTAATATGGGGAGGATAGCATCAGAATTCTCATAATACCCTAAAATAAGAATTAAAGAGAATATAATACTTATCACTTTAATCATGACTCATAATTTAATAACCAATTAGATATGTGATTTATCAAATACTAGCAATATTTTGATGATTTATGTATGTTATAATGAAAAGCTAAACATATAACAGGTGATTATACTGCAATAATTAGAGTAGATATCACTTTGATAACCTATATTATGAGTGTAATATATAGATTTTTATGTATTATCTAGTAATTAATTTTATGATTTTTATCATATAGTATGTAATTATGTTGAAATACATATTATTTACTACATGGTTATAAGTATGATAGGATTAATAACAATAACAATCTAAGTATTAGTTAAAACAACTATTATTGAGAAAACCATTTTAAAATATAACATGTTAGATAATCGTATCTAATAGTGAGCCACTGATATAAAATTAGGTACTATTTTTCCCTACATACGTGGTGGATCCTATCCCAAAAAAACAGAAAAATAACGAAGCCCATAGCAATTTCAACGAACCCCATCGAGAATGTACCGAAAAACTTGAAAGAAAAATTAACCAATATGTACCAAAACCAAGTAGCCCACCCCGATTTTCACCAAGTCTGCCCAAATAAAATAAAATAAAAAATCTGGCAAAAAGTAAAGAAAAAAGAAAGAGAGGAAAAACTAAAGGAAACAAAATTCACTTGTGTCCTTGTATTATAAAAAAGGGAAAATACCACAAAAAACCCCAAATTATGCCACTTGTGATAAATTTACCCTGAACTTTTTTTTGTGACACGAAAAATTCCAAACTATACCACTTGTGAGAAATTTACCCTAAACTTCTTTGTGACACGAAAAATTCTAAACTATGCATTTTGTCACTTTACCCCATAATATTTTGGCCAAAGGGCATTTTCGTCTTTTCCTTCTTTTTTTCCTTTCTTCTCTCTTCCCTTCGCCGACCATGGCGGAGGGAAGTTGGCGAGGGTGGCCCTCGCCGGCGTTGGGCGAGGGCTGCCTTCGCTAGATCCCTGCCCTCGCTGGCGTCGGGCGAGGGCAGCCCTCACCCAACCCCAACGCCGGCGAGGGCCGCCCTCGCCGGCTTCCCTTCGCCATGGCCGGCGGAGGGAAGAGAGAAGAAAGGAAAAAAAACAGAAAAAGGAAAAAGACGAAAATGCTCTTGGGCAAAGTATTGTGGGGTAAATGTGTCACAAGTGGCATAGTTTGGGGTTTTTCATGTCACAAAAAAAAGTTCAGGGTAAATTTATCACAAGTGACATAGTTTGGGGTTTTTCGTGTTATAAAAAAAAGTTCAGGGTAAATTTATCACAAGTGACATAGTTTTAAGTTTTTGGTGGTATTTTTCCTATAAAAAATTAGTTACAATTTGTATTAATATATCACACAACAGATCCATTAGTCCATTTTATCATATATTTAATGGGAAATGTGTCATAAAAGTCTCAAACCTATTACATTAGTGCCAATTTAGTCATAAACTTTTTTTTGGTGCCAATTCAGTTCTAAACCTTTTGTCTTTGTGTGAATTCAGTCCTTCCAGCTAATTTTGGCTGGATATTGCAGACGTGGATGCCGGCTGGCCTACGTGGCACCACCGGTGATGACATGGACAATTTTTAATAATATTTTAATATTTTTCGAATTTATTTTTTTAAAAAAATTCTTTTCTTTTTCTTTTTTTTTCTTTATGTTTCTTCTTCCTCTAGCCAGTCACCGGTCCAGCGACTGGCTGGAGGCTAGGGTCGGCGAGGGACCTCGCCCTTGCCAATGGCCACGAGGTTGCGGCCTTCGACCTCACAGCCTCTGGCGAGGGCTCGAGCCTCACCAGCGGCTGGGCGAGGCACGACCTCGTCGGATCTGGTGATTATATCTTTTCGATATCCTCGATCGGTGATTATATTATTTCTGTTTTAGTTTGGATGCACCAGTTAGGAAGGAAAAAAAATTAAAAAAATTATGAGAAAAAAAAAGGAATGATCTTAAGAGATTTAATTATAATGCTTTTTAGATGCTGGCGAGGAAAAAAATAAGGAAAATAGTGTATAATGGCACTAAAGTCCTTTTATATATTCGTTGATACATGTAAAATAGGAGTAGAGGTGAGAAAGAAGAATAAACATGTGTATTTGATACACAGCTCTCACCAAATCCCTTCATATTTAGAGAGAGTCGGAGTGAATTAAAAGTGTGCATAAAATTGATCGGGCTAATTCTTCGTAATCTCTCATAATCCCGCGTAATCCTTTCTCCACATCTCTCACCCTTCATTTGAAACACAATTATATTTCTAGAGCCCTTATTTTCCCTCCTAATTCCTCCTAAAAAAGATATAACCCGTTTTGTTGCAATAATAGAATAAAGATGTAATGTAATAGCCAATACACTGTTTGGTTTAAGTAATGTAATATCTGTCATACCGTTTAATTTCATTATAACATACATAACAAGGGAAGGATAACATAAGAATTCCCAAAGTACTCCTAAAATCAGAATCATGGGAATATAATATTTATCACGTTAATAGTCAATCATTATTCATGAATTTCACAACCACTTAAATTATTAGATAATTTTTTTATTAATATTTTGATAATTTATGTGTGTTATAATGAAAAGTTAGACGCATAAGATACGAGTATATTACAACAATTTATAGTAATTATCACTTTGATAACTAATTATGAGTGAAATATATTTTTTTATGTATTATCTAGTTATTAAATTATGATTAATATTTAAATTTATATCATGTAATATGTAATTATGTTAGCTGGCCTCTGTCTTGTCCGTCTAAGGCCGGGTTACATAGTTAATAGTATGACAGGATTAATAATAACATAACAATTTGAGTTATTAATTGATATAAATATAATTAAGATAATCATTATATTATGGATAATATAATATAGATAACAACATTCTTAGCAAATTATGTATACTTTATAATATAATAAGTGATTATGTATTATCAAGATAATATCAGATACTTACATCAATTATTTACTTATCACTTAATATTTTACTCATCTCATAATATTTAATTGAGTCAAAACAATAATAATTAATTATTACAATTTTAATTGTAATTAATAGTCTACCAATAGAGTGGCCTAATTTCCTTAAAAAGTATCAACCTTAGCTCGGGTCTCGGGTCTCAATTTTGGTTCCAACTTTTATTTATCTCATAAGAAAGCATCAATTTTCAGTTGGTGTCCAATTTGACTCTTGTCAAAAGTCGATCAAATGATTATGTTAAAGATACGAAGTGCCATGCCACATGTACATTACCTTCGTGGCATCTACTGGCATGGAAATTAGGTCCCAAATTAGAGAGAGAGAGAGAGGGGGGGTGTTTATCATATCCGCCACAACTGTGAGTTTAAGCTCTAAGCACTCGGCGGCCATGGTTGCTCAAGCTCATACTCGAGGTCGGCCACTCATGGCCACGAAGCTCACGGCGGCCATTGTCGTGAGATCTTTTTGAGCCATGAATCTCGAGGCCGCTATGGCCACTCAAGCTTAGAGCACGTGACGTGGCCATGGGCGTCGAGCTTACAGCAACCACAATTGCTTGAGTTTCGATACATGAAGCTCAAGGTCATGGCTACTCAAACTTTGAGGTCGCGACCATCATGGCTGCTCAATTTGAAGTCGCGGCCATATCCACAAGATTGGTGGCCATGAGTGGGTACTAAAATCGAGTTTCAAATGAAAATGATAGTGTTTCGGTGCTGTTATGCCCCCATGAGGTGCTAAAACAAGGTTGTTGCCTTTTGTTGCTTGTTTGAAGGATATCTGGTAATAAAAAAAAGCAAACATGTTGCTATGTCACGGTCTTCATTCAACTGTGTAGCTAAATCAGATTCCCATTTGGAGTTTCTTGTTGGAGAGGAAACTCATCTTGTCTTGACATATGGTACTGGAATATTGTGGGTAGACTTATTTCTTGGTGAGCATTACTTTTTTAATTGAAAGATTTTGTAGTCATACTTGTATTGCATTTTCATCTTAACAATCGGACAAGCAATAAAATTGTTATATTGCAAATATATGATGTCTTCGTCTAGTGTGAATGAGAATCTTGGAGTGAATTGACCATTTCAAAATTAAAAGCTGTTAGTGGTAAGCGTGATGTCATCAGTATATCGGAATCTACAAGAAACAAACACAAGCTCTGTTATAATTGTGAGGATAAAACGGGTGACTTCTTTTTTTTGCACTCTGCAAAGCCGCTCTGAGAACGGGAGCAAGCCATCCCAGCTCCCCTTTTGGGTATGTAGGCAACGAGACACCCATTTTGACTATATGGATAGATATCGGAAATATCCCACAATGGCTCCAAGTCGTCCCGCCTGAACGACGGACCTTTGGAAGCTTTGTATGCCTGAAAAGGTTAAAAGCCAAAAACAAAAACGAGAAAAGGGTAAAGTTTTCGAATGAGATAAGGAAACCCTAATTTCTCGTTTTCTTGATCATGCAAAGATAAGAGTAATATACTGCCCATTTTCACGACACACCGATACAATAAATGCATGATTACAGACGCGAAGACGATTAAAAAACGGAAGTTAGTACCTTTATCATCTCGTGATTGCAGAGATTGTGTCGCTCCTTGCACTCGTTGCAGACAGCTACCCCACAGACTCTACAGTAGAAAGTGCGCAGTTCGGAGGGATGAGTCTCGCACGAGCAATAGAGCTTAGCGCTCGCGATAGACCTCAACCACAGCGGAAGGACCATCTCTTGATCATCTCCAGACGAGACCATCACTGCATCGCTCCCCCTCATTTTGCGTGGGTGCTCTTTCTCCCTCTCCCTCGCTTCTTGAATATGATGAAACAGCGAGACCCAAGCAGAAAGAGAGAAGGCTGCAAAGATATTTACGCAATTGAGGGTGAATTAATGAACCGGTCGAGCGGGTCAGTTCATATGATAAAATAATATAAAAAATCTGGCAAAAAATAAAGAAAAAAGAAAGAGAGGAAAAACTAAAGGAAACAAAATTCACTTGTGTCCTTGTATTATAAAAAAATTAGTTACAATTTGTATTAATATATCACACAACAGCTCCATTAGTCCATTTTATCATATATTTAATGGGAAAAGTGTCAGAAAAGTCATAAATCTATTGCATTGATGTCAATTTAGTCATAAACCTTTTTTTTTGCGTCAATTCAATCCTAAACTTTTTATCTTTGTACCAATTCAGTCCTAAATCTTTTGTTTTTGTGTCAATTTAGTCTTTTCAGCTAATTTTGGCTGAATATTGCTGACATGCATACCGGCCGGCCTACGTGGCACCGCTGGCGATGACGTGGATAACATTTAATAATATTTTAATGATTTTCAAATTTATTTTTTAAATAAAATTTTTTCTTTTTCTTTTCTTTTTTTTTCTTTTTTTTTTGTTTAAATTTCTTCTTCCTCCAACCAGTAGCCGATCCATCGACTGGCTAGAGGCCAGGGCCGGTGAGGGACCTTGATGGCCTCTAGCAAGCCCCACCGACCACTGGCGAGGTCGTGCAGCTGTTGGCAAGGCTCGAGCCCTCACCAAAGTCCGCGAGGTTGAAGGCCGCGACCTCGCGGCCACTGAGGCTCGCCAGTGGTCGGCGGGGATGGCCAGCTTTGGCCTCTAGCCAGTTGCCATACTTGGAGGAAGAAGAAGCTTAAGAGAAAAAAAAAATGAAAAAGAAAAGAAAATTAAAAAAATCGAAAAATATTAAAATATTATTGAAATTTGTTCACATAATCGCCGGTAGTGCCATGTTGGTCGGCCAGCGTCCACATCAGCAATATCCGGCCAAAATTAGCCGGAATAACTAAATTGGCACAAAGATAAAAAGTTTAGGAATGAATTGGCACCAAAAAAAGGTTTAAGATTAAATTGGCACAAATGCAATAGATTTGGGACTTTTCTGACACTTTTCCCACGGCCGCGACCTCGTGGTCTCTGGCAAGGGCTCGAGCCTCGCCAGCAGCTGGGCGAGGCATGACCTCGCTCAATCTTGCGAGGGTCAAGCCTCGCCGGCCCTTGCCAGAGGCTGCGAGGTCGAAGGCCGTGACCTCACAGCCACTGGCAAGGGCGAGGTCTCTCGCTAACCTTGGCCTCCAGCCGGTCGCCAGTCCAGTGACCGGCTGGAGGAAGAAGAAACAGAAAGAAAAAAAAAGAAAATAATTTTAAAAAAAAGATATTCGAACAATATTAAAATATTATTTAAAGTTGTCCATGTCATCGTCGGCGGTGCCACGTAAGCCGGCCGGCGTCCAAAAAAAGGTTTATGTTTAAATTGGCACAAATACAATAAGTTTATGACTTTTCTAACACTTTTCCTGATATTTAATGGATTGTATTTGATCGTTTTCTATGGTTTTCATTTGCAAATATTGTGATGATATTTTTGTTTTTGGTTTTTATCTAGTGATAAAATAATTACGATCCACCCATGTCTCAAGATTATAGAAAAAAATAATTATGATTTGTGTTGATGTATATCAGATAACAGCTTCATCAATCCATTTGATCAGATATTGAACAAATTACGATTGATTCTTTTTTAGGATTTTAATTTACAATAACTGATTGAAACCATTTACAGTTTGTAGCTTGAGAAAAAAAATGTGGACCCTTGTGCACACTTGAAAATATTTAAAAGCCAGCTTAGCTAGACTTCCATTTCGGTATCCTCGATCGATGATTATATCATTTCTGTTTTAGTTTGGATGCACCTGTTAGGAAGGAAAAAGAATTAAAATTAATTATGAGAAAAAAAGAGGAATGATCTCAAGAGATTTAATTAAAATGCTTTTTAGATGCTGGCGAGGAAAAAATAAGGAAAATAGTGTATAATGGCACTAAAGTCCTTTTATATATTCGTTGATACAAGTAAAATAAGAGTAGAGATGAGAAAGAAGAATAAACATGTTTATTTGATACACAACTCTCACCAAATCCCTTCATATTTAGAGAGAGTCGGAGTGAATTAAAAGCGTGTATAAAATTGATCGGGCTAATTCTTCGTAATCTCTCATAATCCCGCGTAATCCTTTCCCTATGTCTCTTACCCTTCATTTGAAACACAATTATATTTCTAGAGCCCTTATTTTCCCTCCTAATTCCTCCTAAAAAAGATATAACCCGTTTTGTTGCAATAATAGAATAAAGATGTAATGTAATAGCCAATACACTGTTTGGTTTAAGTAATGTAATATCTATCATACCGTTTGATTTCATTATAACATACATAACAAGGGGGGTTAACATAAGAATTCCCAAAGTACTCCTAAAATCAGAATCATGGGAATATAATATATATCACTTTAATAGTCAATCATTATTCATGAATTTCACAACCACTTAAATTATTAGATAATTTTTTTTATTAATATTTGGATAATTTATGTGTGTTATAATGAAAAGTTAGACGTATAAGATACGAGTATATTACAAATAGTAATTATCACTTTGATAACTAATTATAAGTGAAATATATAATTTTTATGTATTATCTAATTATTAAATTATGATTAATATTTAAATTTATATCATGTAATATGTAATTATGTTAGCTGGCCTCTGTCTTGTCCGTTGAAGGCCGGGAATGGTGTTAATACATATTATTTATTTCATAGTTAATAGTATGACAGGATTAATAATAACATAACAATTTGAGTTATTAATTGATATAAATATAATTAAGATAATCATTATATTATGGATAATATAATATAGATAACAACATTATTAGCATATTAGGTATACTTTTTAATATAATAAGTAATTATATATTATCAAGATAATATCAAATACTTACATCAATTATTTACTTATCACTTAATATTTTACTCATCTCATAATATTTGATTGAGTCAAAACAATAATAATTAATTATTACAATTTTTAATTGTAATTAATAGTCTACCAATATAGTGGCCTAATTTCCTTAAAAAGTATCAACCTTAGCTCGGGTCTCGGGTCTTAATTTTGGCTCCAACTTTTATTTATCTCATAAGAAAGCATCAACTTTCAGTTGGTATCCAATTTGGCTCTTGTCAAGAGTCAATCAAATGATGTTGTTAAAGATCCAAAGTGCCACGCCACATGTACATTACCTTCATGACATTTACTGACATGGAAATTATGTCCCAAATTATAGAGGAGGGGGGGGGGGGGTGTGGGGTTGTTCTATCACATCCGCCACAACTATGAGTTTAAGCTCTAAGCACATGGCGGCCATGGTTGCTCAAGCTCATACTCGAGGTCGCCATGGCCACTCATGGCCATGAAGCTCACGGCGGCCATTGTCGTGAGATCTTTTCAAGTCATGAATCTCGAGGCCGCTATGGCCACTCAAGCTTAGAACACGTGATGTGGGCATGAGTGTCGAGCTTACAACAACCACAATTGCTTGAGTTTCGATACGTGAAGCTCAAGGTCATGGCTACTCAAACTTCGAGGTCGCAACGACCATGGTTGCTCGATTTGAAGTCACAGCCATAGCTACAAGATTGGTGGCCATGAGTGGGTACGGATTTGAGCTTAAAGTTATGGCTGCGCCAGCTTCGAGGTCGTGGCAACCATGGTTGCTCAAGCTCTAACCTCTTAACAGCCATGGCCGTGTAAGCTCATGCTCATGGACACCATGCCCACTCGAGCTTATAGCTATGGCAACGAAATCTTTTTGAGTCGCGAAACTCGAGGCTACCATGGCCACTCAAGCTTCGGACTCACGGCTACCATGCACACTATTTCCTTTTTCTTTAAGTTGTCTGATGAGGCACCTAATTTCCATGTTAGTTGGGCCGTAAAGGTAATGTATATGGAATGACACGTCGGATAATTAATGCCGTCATTAGAAGGAAACTTAACAACAAATTTGGGTATTGACTGAAAATTTGTGCTTTTTTAAGAGATAAAGAAAGTAGAGGCCATAATTGGGACCCAAATTAAAACTAGACCTGTTAAACAGGTGGGTCGGATCGGGTCGGGTTGGGATTGGTTTGGGTCATAAATGGTTTGACCCAAATTGACCCATTTACCCGTTTATGACCCATTTATTTGTAATATAAATATCTCAACCCATATCCAACCCGACCCGTACCCAACCAATACCCGACCCGATCCACATGGCGGTTGTTCTATCACATTCGCCACAACTATGAGTTTAAGCTCTAAGCACATGGCGGCCATGGTTGCTCAAGCTCATCCTTGAGGTCGCCATGGCCACTCATGGTCACGAAGCTCACGGCGGCCATGGTTGCTCAAGCTCATCCTTGAGGTCGCCATGGCCACTCATGGTCACGAAGCTCACGGCGGCCATTGTCGTGAGCTCTTTTCAAGTCATGAATCTCGAGGCCGCTATGGCCACTCAAGCTTAGAACACGTGATGTGGGCATGAGTGTCGAGCTTACAACAACCACAATTGCTTGAGTTTCAATACGTGAAGCTCAAGGTCATGGCTACTCAAACTTCGAAGTCGCAACAACCATGGTTGCTCAATTTGAAGTTGCGGCCATAGCTACAAGATTGATGGCCATGAGTGCGTACGGATTTGAGCTTAAAGTTATGGCTGCGCCAGCTTCGAGGTCATGGCAACCATGGCTGCTCAAGCTCTAACCTCTTAACAGCCATGGCCGTGCAAGCTCATGCTCATGGACACCATGCCCACTCGAGCTTATAGCTATGGCAGCGAAATCTTTTTGAGTTGTGAAACTCGAGGCTACCATGGCCACTCAAGCTTCGGATTCACGGCTACCATGCACACTATTTCCTTTTTCTTTAAGTTGTCTGATGAGGCACCTAATTTCCATGTCAGTAGGGCCGTGAAGGTAATGTATATGGAATGACACGTCGGATAATTAATGCCGTCATTAGAAGGAAACTTAACGGCAAATTTGGGTATTGACTCAAAATTTGTGCTTTTCTAAGAGATAAAGAAAGTAGAGGCCATAATTGGAACCCAAATTAAAACTAGGCCTGTTAAACTGTGGGTCGGGTCGGGTTTGGGTCGGATCATAAATGGTCCGACCCAAATTGACCCATTAACTCTTTTTGACCCATTTATTTATAATATAAATATCCCGACCCATACCCGACCCGACCCATATTAATAAAACACTTCTATATTTAACTAAATATAGGAAAACTTGTTTGTTATGACTCTTTTTAAAAATTATACTACTAAAACATTTTCATATAATACAAAGCTAGTGAAAAAATTTTAGAATTTTTTTTTAAAATTTAGGTTCTGTTTGTTTTGTGAAAAATGCAACATTTTTATAAGATATTTTCCATGAAGTCATTTTCCAAGAAAAAAAAAGTTCCAATGTTTGGCTGAAACTTGAAAATGAATTAGAAAATATTTTCCGACGTTTGGTATATAAAATCTGATTTGATTTTATTTTATGCATGCATTTTAATAAATTTTTATTTTATTTATTTTTTTAAAATCAAATTTTTAATTTTTTTAATTTTTTTTGTTTCCTTTATTTTTGGCCGGTGACTGGCCACGACGACGGTCGGCCACCAGCCGCAGGCAAGGATGAGCTCGCCGACCTTAAGCGAGCCTCGAGCTCGCCCAATTCCGGCGAGCCGAGCCTCTCTAGTCTCGGGCAAGGCTCCACCTCGCCAGATGCAACGAGCTCGAGTCTCGCCCACCTCGCTACAGGTCGACAAGGCCTCGGGCTCGCTGGAATCGAGCTATCTCGGCCTCGCCGACCTAGCAAGCCCAAGGTCTCCCCTATGGCCGGTGGCCGGCCACCGGCCGAAAATAAAGAAAAAAAAATAAAAATAAAAAGAGAATAAAAATAAAAATAATTTCGATTTTTTAAAAAAAAATTATAAAAAGAGGGTGGGCTTAATGGGTGACTTGGACATTTCCAACCCACTCATTGAGACCCATTTATGATAGGCTTAAAACTTTAAAACCCATGTAAGATGGGCTCTTTAAAGTTGTATTGATCAATTTATGACCAATTTATTTTTAAATGGGTCATAAATGGGTTTTAAGACCCATTTAATAGGTCTAATTAAAACTGATGTATTTTTAAAGAGATTTGGGCCCAATAGAGTGATGGGAAAAAAAAATGACAGGGACATTTTATAGATTACCATTGCAGCAAAACTATAATAACTATTAGGGTGCGCATGGCAACGATTTTGTGCCCGAGAACTAATTCTGTTCAGAAATGATTCTTTTTTATTCCGTGCCCGGAAACAATTTCTAAGCATTTGAAGGCGTTTGGTAACTGCCCAAAATTTCTATTCTTAGAATAGAAAAAAGAACAGAAATGCGTTTGGTAAATACATAAAATTTCTTTTTATTAATAATATTTTGAATTTTTTTATATTTATTTTTCTTTCTTTCTTTTCCTTCCCTTCCTTGGCCATGGCCGGTCGCCGGTGTCGACGACCAGCCATAGGCCAGGGCTGGCGAGGGCGTCGCGGCCCTCGCTGGTTGCGACGGCGAGGCCGACCTTGCCATCGAGACCCAGGCGAGGGAGATGAGTCGCGATGGCGAGGTCGACCTCACCTTGGCTGGGCAAGGCTCTACCTCGCCTAGATCTAGCGAGGCCAACCTCGCCCAGATCTGGCGAGGCCGACCTCGCCGTCGCCTGGATCATGACGGCGAGGTCCGCCTCGCCGTCGCGGCTGCAAGCCGCCCTTGCCGGCCATCGGCGAGGGCCGCGACGCCCTCGCCGACCCTGGCCTGTGGCCGGTCGCCGGCGACAAGTGAAGAACAACAAACCAAGAGGAAGAAGAAAACCAAGAAGAATCAGAAATGGAAAAATTGTTCCTAGAATCAAGAAGTTACTTTTTTTTGTTTCTTAATTCTGTTCCAAAACTGATTCTGGAAATAATTTTTTGCAAATTTGTGCCCAGACACAAAAATTTTAACAAACGGATTTCTGTTCCCAAACTAATTCTGGGAACAAAATAACATAAATTTTCACTATTTGGCAACTTGCCAAACAGGCCCTTACACACAGGTCCATCTATTAAAAATTGCAACCTTGATTGTAATATGAATTACGGGGTAATAGCCCTTATTGTAAGAAAATGTCATTATTGGTGGATTGTATATAATAGATCTAGGGAAAATGACACAAATGTCCTTGAACTTTGATTCAATATGCAATATGGTCCTTGAACTTTAACCCAATGTATAATCTGATCCATGAAATCTTAATTTGTTAAATGTAGTCCATGAACTATATGAAAATGTTCAATGTAGTCCTTCCATTAATTCAAGATCAAGGATTATATTAAACATTTTCATATAATTCAGGAACTACATTAAACATGTACTAAAAATCTAAGGACCATATTGAACAAATTCAAAGTACAAGGAACACATTAAATATTATGTTAAAGTTCATGGATCATGTTGCACATTTAATTAAGTTCAAGGACCATTTATGTCAATATTATGTACATCTATGGCGTAATTGTCCAATTACTTCATCTTGTTGACTTTGTTTATTATGCACAAAATCACTTTTGAAGCAAAGCAGGGCCTCTCTTGCAACCTGCTTATAGCTGAGCAGCCTCCTCCATTAAAATCAGATCATACCGCCACTCAACGTGCAACGTGGTCCCTAAATTTTTAATTTGTTCAATATGATCTCTAAACTGTAACCAATATGCAATGTAGTCCCTGAACTTTTAATTTATTTAATATAGTGCTTGAACTTTTGGTACATGTTTAATACAGCCACCGAATTATATAAAAATATTCAATGTAGTCATTCCATTAATTCAAGATCATTCATATAGTCTAGGGCATATATTAAATATGTACCAAAAGTCTAGAGACCATATTAAACAAATAAAAAATCAGGATTATATTGAATAAATAAAAAATTCATTGATCACATTGCACATCGAATCAAAGTTCAAGAATCATTTATGCCATTATTCCATACATCTATAATGTAATTTGTCCAGTTAATTCATCTTGTTGACTTTGTTTATGCTGCACAAATCACACTTGAAGCAAGGCCTCCTCTCTTGCAACCTGCTCGTAGCTGAGCAGCAGCCTCCATTAAAATCAGATCAGACCACTACTCTCTCTCTCTCTCTCCCTCTCCTTCCTCTCCTCACTATCTTCTCCTCCTCCTCTTCACCTTCTTCCTCACCCATCTCTTTCTCTCTCTAGGGATGGACCTCCTCTCTCTCTCCTCCCCATCCTCACCTCACTTCCTCCCCCTCAAACCCTCCTCCCTCCATGTCCCCAGGCCACCCCCTCCTCCTCTCCTCTCCCTCAAGCCCCACCCCGCCGCCGCTCCGCCTCCTCCCCTCCCCTCCCTCAAGGCCCGTCTCGCCGCCCCCTCCCCAAGGCCCCGCCGGGCCGCCGCCGCCGCCGCCGCCGCCGTCTCGTCGGCGGCACCTCAGACGCCCGCCACCGCCATGCGGGGCGCCGAGGCCGACGCCATGGGGCTCCTGCTCAGGGAGCGCATCGTCTTCCTGGGGAGCAGCATCGACGACTTCGTCGCGGACGCGATTATCAGCCAGCTGCTCCTGCTCGACGCTCAGGACCACACCAAGGACATCCGGCTCTTCGTCAATTCCACCGGCGGCTCGCTTAGGTAAGCCCGGTTCGCGCGGCGGGTCTTGGTTGTCTTTCCGAGATTGCTCCTGGTTGTGGGGTGTTTCGGAGGTATTGACATTGGAATTCTTGAAATTCTTTCGGTTTGCGCACGAGTTGTTTGAAGAAATGCCAGTCAGGGGTTTATATAGTTTGAGAGGGGTAGAGTTGAGCTTGCCAAGTATGTTCCTGATAAGTTGCTGAATGAAATTATAGTTATATGCTCCATTTTGCTCCATTGAGATGTTTTTTCATTGTCACCGGTGGCTGTGGAAAAAGTAAGGGACTCAGGTGCTTTTTGGACCATAACCAAACTATACAGGGCATGAAGAGGGGGGGGGGGGGGGGCGGGGGGGCGCTCTGGGCGGGGGGTTGTGCAAGCTTATATAAAGAAAGAGCTCAGTAACAAGACGAATGGTCTATAGAGTCGATTTTAGCATTTCCATCTACAAGTAACTTTCCTATACCATAAGTGTAGGACTTATAACCAACTTTCAGTAATTACAAAAACGAGCGTCCCCTCTTGTACGAAAGCTCTCTTGTTCCGCTCTGTCCAAATCAACCGAAAGACAGCAAGAGGTATTGGATACTCTTCGTAACACGAGGCTATAAAGGATCTTGTCAAGCGCCTATTTCTTGTTCACTAGATCCTCCTATAGCCCAAGAAAGCCCAGTGCAGGCGTTAGAGGCTGTCCATAACCTTTTGTGTGACTTACTTATTGGTGATCTATTGTTGGGAATGGCTCCCAATTTATTTACGAGAAAGAGACTGCATTTGATATGCTTGTAATGCAATTTGACTGTATTACGTACTTATGTCCTAACTATTTCCTTAAGCATTAAGAGACTAAGAACTTGTGAGAGTAAAGATCATATTTTTTGCTTGATCAAAATTAATGCCCCAAAATGTTCTTACTCATTGGAGCTCTTAATCTGAACTATTCAATGTAAGAGTCTCTAGACATTGTGACGGAATGTGGTGTTATTAAATAATGTGCAGCAGTTCTCCTAGTTGGTAATGGATATACCATGTTTTGCCGTCTCTTTGTGGTCTTCCAAGTCGGATTTATGCTCTTTTGCTATTACTAGTTAAAAATAATAGACAGGTGATAGATGATTAAGTATCAGATTGAATATAGATGGATATCGTTTCCGATAATTTGATGAAGCTGGTGTATCTCAGATCTCAGCCAAAACACCATAGTCATTTGTGTGGTTGAGATCTCTATCAATTTAAGTGACATTCAACAGCTGAACAAAACATTTGCCAAAAAAATAAAAAAACAGTTGAACTAAACACCATATTCATTCTTGACTTCATTCAACATGCTGACACTCTATGGGTGAGATCACGATCAATTTCTCCATCCGTTTATAACATAAGTCCTAGATTTCAAAAACTTTCACTGCTTAGAATTTCCCGATCTCCAATTCCCACGGTAGTACTGTTTAAAGCCTGTTCACATTGGACTTATACTCCCCATACTCTGTATTTGATTGTCTTAGCCAGAAACCTTATATTCCAAGACCAATGTTATAGTTTCTTATTTACTCCCACTTGGATTTCATTTATCAGTACTATACAATTTGCAAAATGTAGATACCAAAGGGTATCTATTGCTAACTTTTTTGTTATTCTGGTACGGCGGTTATGAGATTGATGATGTCCATGAGAACAATTTCTCAACCAAATATTGAAATACCATTCGAATTTCAATAATTTGTAATAAAATTATGTGTGAAACTACGTGCCAGCATTTGTATGTTGTAAAAGTTTGAGATTTTAACAAAGTCAAGGTGTTAATAGAAAAGTAAAAGTCAATCCAGACATGTCCTTAAGTATGAGCTTAGATATGAGCCTTGGAGTAACCTTGTAATTATGGGAAGTCTTTAGTTTCTCCTCCATGTTTCCTTATGGAAATCACTACTTCATCGTAAATGTCTTTTAAAGCTAGTAAATAGGCTACATGTATTTCTTTCATCTCTAGTATTCTCAAGAGATTTTCTCCAGGAACCCTGACACATTTTTTCTCCAAATTTATGAAAACTACATGTAAATCCTTTTACCTTTCCACAAATCTTTGTAACGAGTAGATTGTCCCCATAATTGATCTTTATGGCACAAACCTCCCAATTGGATATCCAATATAGGTGTCTTGCATCAAACTGCACTCAATTACTCTTTCCTAGATTTCTTTTAGTCTAGATAACTCTGAGTGATAGGAACCAAAGTGCTTTATCCTGTACTCATCTAGCATGTCAAGATTTTATTGGAGACGTTTTTAAGCCAAGAGATACCTGTCCCCGATAACCTTCCGAAGTTCAATCGCTATACATCAATCTATTTAGGCCACACAATGTGTCTCTTCCGCATGATGGCCTCTTTGGCACAATCTCATGTGGAATGTTCTCATTGAGTGTGTTTCTTATGCTGCTTGCGTCCTGTTTTCTCACCTGCAGGTTTTATCTCAATTTTCTGATGGGATTTCTCTCTTATTTTCTCATGTCAGTGCTACAATGGCTATATATGATGTCGTACAGCTTGTCCGAGCTGATGTTTCAACTGTGGCTCTAGGCATTTCAGCATCAACAGCTTCCATAATACTTGGTGGAGGCACTAAAGGGAAGCGTCTTGCGATGCCAAATACACGCATAATGATTCATCAACCTCTTGGTGGTGCAAGTGGGCAAGCTATAGATGTGGAAATTCAAGCTCGAGAAGTTATGCATAACAAAACTAATGTCACCAAGATTATTTCTTCTGTCACTGGACGTCCATTCGAACAAGTCGAAAAAGATATTGACAGAGATCGGTACATGTCTCCAATTGAAGCTGTTGAGTATGGAATCATCGACGGAGTAATTGATAGAGATAGTATTATTCCTTTGATGCCTGTGCCTGAAAGGGTGAAGTCCAGATTGAACTACGAGGAAATCAGTAAGGACCCTAGGAAATTTTTGACACCAGATATTCCTGACGATGAGATATACTAGTGTGGTTTGCAAATGCAGGTAAGAAAAGATTTTCCTTTTTGCTTATTTGTGTGTATTACTTAATATCCCTGATAGCAAATACAAGGAGCTGGGTAATTTTTGCATCTAGTATTCTATAACTGTCCTATTACAGAACCAGTGTGCAGATATGTATGAGGAGATATATTTGCCATGTTGAACTTACTGGTCTAATATGCTTTTGGCTTATAGAGATTTCTTAAATACTTAATTAAAATAAACGGTTTAATAAGAGTATCCAGGGGAACGTATTGGGAAGACTTTTTTAAGCCATGATTCTACATGAACTGGGAATCCTTTAGATAGATTTAGACTTCAAAATCTCTAGCTGTATAAGGTCCTGAGCTATTTAATTAGTTAAGACAGATTATCTTGTTCTTGCTTTGACACTTTTGTTGCTGTATTTGGAAGTCAAATGCCAACTTCTCAGTACAAGTATTGTTTAACTGGTGAGAAGTGCCATGCTTATATATCACCTGCTTGTTTTTGAATGGGATAGTGGCAATGAGTCATATTCTCTTCATGTGTTTTTACTTATTGGCGTAACTTTATTGCTGCAAAACTAAGGAATACTCGTGTCCTTACTCCTTACCCGATCCTCCTTTGCATGGACATGGATGATTGCATGATGAGTGAGCTACCTTCTCTTTTATACTAAGCTGGATATTCTGCAATGTGCGGGTCAATGCAGTAGATGTCGAAACTTATCAGCTGTATTCCTGACAATTTTGCCTTAGCAGGTTCTATCACATCTTGGATTTAGGAAGATGATATTCTCCTTCTGTGGTCATTGAGGCTCATGCCATGTTGAATCTGAAGGGGGCTTTTGTAAGTTGAGCTTGAACACTTTAGGGTGTAGCATGGCATAGTTGGGTTGATGGGCAAACACTTGTTATCCTCTGAAACTTGAGGACATTGGTTTACATCACTTCTGTTCAAATGTAACTTGCCTGTGATATTTGCCTATCATAGTCGGCACGGCACTTGAATTCTACATCTTTCAGGTTATTCTTAGTCTCTGGAGTCTTGTGGATTTATTTGTTGAAGTTTTCTTATTTTTGAAAGATCTCTAAATCCAATGGCAAAACATAAGAAGTATAATCATTACTCCAACTGATGTCGATCCTCATGAGGTCCTGAATCAAATGGTGTAATCTGTATTGCAACAATTTATTTTATTTTTTTTTATGATTGAGAAAGCTCATTTGAGGTAGGTATACCCTAGGACCATGGAATATCACAATAATTTCATGGACCAGGTAAGATACGAGCTAAAGGGGATGGTTCAAATAGAGAATCATTTGCTCCTGATGGCATGGAGAATCGGACTTGTGCTATGTGGCTGATATTAATCTTCTCCTTAAACTACCAAGCAAATTTCATAAAATCAGATATGTTTGATATACAAAGTTGAATCGGTTCATTGTGCAATTGTAACAATGAATTTATATAATGAGTTAACACTATTATATTGTTAATATAAATAATCTATGTAAGTGTTATATCAATGTTTGTAAAAGAAAAAAAAGAAAGTGTTATATCAATGTATACAAAACGGTGTAAAGCCGAGGTGGGTTGAGTTTGTACGCGGCAAGTCGGGCTCCGTGATCAACCGGCTGTACTCCATTTACTGCAACCAAATCGGCTGTTAGTTGGTCACCCTTATGCTAAAGTTTGCTGTACGTCGTATCCAAAGATATTTCCGACGATCATAACGATCAATCGGAGAATGACATATCTCGAGAGTATGGAAGTCTCTGAAACAAGGTCTGCTTATGAACAATCCCTTCTTGGGTCACTAATCACAAGTACTATGAATACATTGAACATCAGCTGTCAGCAATGACAGCAGGCACCGTGATGTCTTAAGTACTAGGAATCGCAGAAGCTTCACTGCCGTTGTCTACACCTCCAGGGCCTGCATTTGTTGTGGAGCTCACATTCCCTTCCTCAATCTTCTTCCACTCCAAGCCATCCTTGCCCTTGGTCTCTCCACTCTCCCTGGCTGTGTCATATGAAGCATGTAGCCCAAAGAAATAGTAGTACAACAGCAAGAACCCGGTCCACATCCCAAACCGCTCGAATGACGCCTGGTCTATAGACCCGAGCAGGAATATGTTGATGGCAATTGAGGCCGACGGCAGCCAAGGGACCAGCGGCACGCCCCACAGTTTTGGGTCCCGGGCTTGCGGGACAAGCACCCTCAATGCCAGTGTTGCTAGGAACCAGATTGGCATTGTGATCACATACCCGACCCAGCCTTGCTCTCTGAGGCCCCAATAAGTGGCGGTCGCGATCGAAGACCCGACTATGAGCAAGATGCAGACGATGAGCTTGTTGCGGTCGACAGGCTTCGTGACCCCGCTGACGTAGTACCGGCGCACTAGGAGGGCGACCGCCACGAGCATGAAGATGAACAATGTGGAGATGGAGAGGAGTTCGGACAAGATTTCAAGCTTCGTGAAGAAGGCGATGACCGCGGTTGCCGAGACCATCACGATGGTGGCGTTCACGGGCGTCCCGGTCTTCTCGTTGACCTTGGCGAACCAGGGTGGCATCATGTGCGTCCTGGCAATGTGCGTGACATACCGGGCCAGCCCCACGGCCATGGTGAGAAGTGCCGTTGTCATGCCCTCGAGCGCCCCAAAGGCGACAATGTACTTGGCCCAGTCCATCCCGACTGCCTTGAACGCGACCGAGAACGGGGCATGTGTATCAATCCGGTAGTATGGCTGCATCAGGCACAGTGTGATGACCATCAAGCAATAGACAATGGTAGTCACAACCATGGACCCAACCAGGCCGATCGGTATGTCCTGCGCGGGGTTCTTGGTCTCCTCCGCCAATGTGGACACAGCGTCGAACCCGACATACGCGAAGAACAGCACGGCTGAGGCCTTGAAGATGCCATGGGCCTTGAAGGGAGTGAATGGGGTGTAATTGGCTGCATTGGCCTTCGTGAGGCCCGCCACAATGATGAAGACGAGAACCAGGAGGTGCACGATCGAGGCGGTGTAGTTCAGGCGGGACGAGCCCTTGGTGCTGCGGACTGCAAAGACGCAGATGACGCCGCAGACGCACACAGCGATGGGGTCGAGTTGGTTGTAGCCGTCGGCCAGGCCGTGTGCCTTGATGAGGAAGTCATCGGGTTTGAGGTTGAGGAGGGTGGCGAAGTAGGACGTCCAGGAGCGCGCGACGGCGGCGCCGCCTATCACGTACTCGAGTATGATGTTGCCCGCCGCGATGAAGGCCATGAAGTCCCCAAGCTCCACTCTCAAGTAGGCAAATGATCCACCTATATGGAAGGACACGAGTTCTTAAAATTTAGACTTCTACTTATCAAACTGTACCTTGCTAGAATCAAATATAATTCATTATTTTGCTCTCATTTTCTAAAAGATAGGATGTATGCGTTGACATTGTCCATTCAAGTCTCCATATTTCTGGCTACTGTTGATTCAGCTCTTATCCTAGAACATGAACCGCAAATTGATTTGAATTGATGTTCTATCGAACCTATCATATAATCATGACCACAAACCGAATTCACATCGACGAACCGGCCGGTCCGGCGCCGTTTTTGAATCGCCAATTCATGCCATATTATTCAGTCATTAGTTTTTTCTTTGCCTTTGCGAATTAAAGTTCAGTATGAACTTTTCAAACAGGACGATCTGTGATTTCAAGAATCTAAGTTTCCGTCTAAATAGTAAATGAAATGACTGAAATGTCGAGACGTTGGAGAAATCCATAGGAAAAGAACATACGTAGAGATGCCATGTAATCCAAGCAAAGCGGGTCAACGTGTTTCCACTGACAAGAAAGATCTCTAACTTGGAAAGGAACTGACCTGCCACTGGTATTTCTACTGCGAACTCGGTGTAACACAAGGCTGAGAGCATGGCCGATATGCCGGAGACCACGAAGGAGAGCACAACGGCAGGGCCCGCGTGTTCCTTCGTCTGGAGGCCAGTGAGCACGAAGATGCCGGCGCCGATGACGGCCCCGATCCCAAACCAGATCAGGTCCCACCACGTCAGCGTCCGCTTCATCTCGTGCTGGCTCCGGGCCTTGACCTCGCCGAGCTCCGTCGTCTCAAGGGACCGGGTGAGGACACTGTCCCGCAGCCTGGCCGGCGTCTCCTTGAGGGCACCCCAGTAATTCCCCCAGCTCCTGAAGGACTCTTCGGGGAGGAAGTCATCCTTTGAGCAAGAGCACGCCCTCCTCCTCCTCACAGTTCCTTCACCGCCTGCATCACTGGCTCCTTCCATGGCTGATCTGCAAGGAAAAGAAAACTGACGAGACGAAAATCAGTTCCGAGTCGATCTTAAAACGGGCTCGAGGTACAAGAGAGAAGCAAGGTCAGTACCAGGGTTCGTCTTAGCGTGGACACAAGGCAAATGCTATACCTGTAGTTTTCTAATATAGCAGATTCTATGACATGCTACAGTGCATTAGCAAACAAGCATGTGATTTTATAGAAAGCCACCTTAATTTCATTGGTCCGGCTACGCATCAATAACGTACAAAAGCTCGACGACGACGAAACTGCAGATGCGAACAAGATCATGATGTCGAAAGCTCAACTGTTCATTCAAGGTCACCCAATTCAAGAAAAATAAGTAGTAATTAAGCCCATCATGGAACTTACGTAATAATTGAGAATGTTGAGCAAAGTTAGAAAAGATATGAATGAATAGAGTCGATCTTGATGCCAACTTACATTAAAAGTGAACCAAAAAAAAAACAGAGAAAATTCAAAAAAGGAGAACAAAGCAAGAGACCTTGCGAGAAAACAACGGAAATATATGTAATATAACTAAAGTAGACTGCGAAACCAGCCACAGTGCAGATTGACTCGCCGACGTTCCACAGATATGGACCCTTTTTGTGTTGATTCTAGAGCACACGATCGTTACATTGTCCCCTTTTATGTCGATTCTAGAGCACACGATCATGACATAAGTTTTGCTATAGGTCGTTTGGCATCCGAGATATTTCCAACGATCGTAATGATCGATCCGAGAAATAACTAATGTCGACAGAATATGGGAGTCTATAAAACAAAGTCTGCTTATGAACAACCACTTCTTGGGTCACAAATCACGAAGTATTATAAACACATGAAACAGCAGGTGTCTGCAATGACAGCAGTTTACAGGGCACTGTGTTGTCCTAAGTACTAGGAATCGCAGAAGCTTCACTGCTGTTGTTTACACCTCCAGGGCCTGCATTTGTTGTGGAGCTCACATTCCCTTCCTCAACCTTCTTCCACTCCAAGCCATCATTGCCCTTGGTCTCTCCACTCTCCTTGGCTGTGTCATATGAAGCATGTAGCCCGAAGAGGAAGTAGTACAACAGCAAGAACCCGGTCCACATCCCGAACCGCTCGAATGATGCCCGGTCTATCGACCCAAGCAGGAATATGTTGATGGCAATTGAAGCCGACGGCAGCCACGGGACCAGCGGCACGCCCCATAGTTTTGGGTTCCGGGCGTGCGGGACAAACACCCTCAATGCCACAGTCGCTAGTAACCAGATTGGCACCGTGATCACATACCCGACCCAGCCATGCTCGCTGAGGCCCCAATAAGTGGCGGTCGCGATCGAAGACCCAACTATGAGCAAAATGCAGATGATGAGCTTGTTGCGGTCGGCAGGCTTCGTGACCCCGCTGACGTAGTACCGGCGCACTAGGAGGGCGACCGCCACAAGCATGAAGATGAACAATGTGGAGATGGAGAGGAGGTTGGACAGGATGTCGAGCTTCGTAAAGAAGGCGATGACCGCAGTTGCCGAGAGCATCACAACTGTCGCGTTCACGGGCGTCCCGGTCTTCTCGTTGACCTTAGCAAACCAGGGGGGCATCATGTGCGTCCTGGCAATGTGCGTGAGGTACCGGGCCTGCCCCACGGCCCCGACGAGCAGCACCGTTGTCATGCCCTTGAGCGCCCCGAAGGCGACGATGTACTTCGCCCAGTCCATCCCAACCGCCTCGAACGCAACCGAGAAGGGGGCGTGTGTATCGATCTGGGTGTATGGCTGCATCAGGCACAGTGTGATGACCAGCGAGCAATATGCAATGGTAGTCACAACCATGGACCCAATCAGGCCGATCGGGATGTCCCGCGCGGGGTTTTTAGTCTCCTCTGCCATCGTGGACACGGCGTCGAACCCGACATACGCGAAGAACAGCACGGCTGAGGCCTGGAAGATGCCACGGACCTTGAAGGGTGCGAATGGGGTGTAATTCTTCGTGTCAGCCTTCGTGAGGCCTGCCACAATGATGAAGATGATCACCAGGACGTGCACGATCGAGGCGATATAGTTCAGGCGGGATGAGCCCTTGGTGCTGAGGACTGCAAAGATGCAGATGATGCCGCAGATGCACACAGCGATGGGGTCGAGTTCGTTGTAGCCATTGGCCAGGCCGTGGGCTTTGATGACGAAATCCTCGGGTTTGTGGTTGAGGAGGGTGGCGAAGTAGGACGTCCAGGAGCGCGCGACGGCTGCGCCACCGATCACGTACTCGAGCAGGATGTTGCCCGCTGCGATGAAGGCCATGAAGTCCCCAAGCTCTACTCTTAAGTAGGCAAATGATCCACCTATGGAAAGACAAGAAATTTGGTTTTAGAATTCGTACTTTTTTTTTATCAAACTGTATGCAATCTCATGAAACATTTAAGCAGAATATAGGATGTATGCGTTCACATTGTTCATTCAAGTCTCCATTATTGTCGGGGAGCAATTTTCTCAATGATCCTAAAATTGTTTGGCGCTATATTTCTTCCCTTGAAGCTGGATCTGGCTACTGTTGAATCAGCTCTTATCCAAACATGAACCACAAAGCGAATTAAATTGATAATCCTATGGAGCCCGTCGTAAAATCGCGACACGAAACCGGATCCCACATCGGCGAATCGGCCGGTCCGATAAAATTATTGAACCACCAATTCATGCCATACTTTTCAGTCCTATGTTTTTTGGTTCTTCCCCTTTGCAAAATGAAAGTTTATCATGGACTTTTCAAACAGGAGGATCTCTGATATTTCAAGAATCAAGTCAACAATGGCCAGTTTGAACGGTAAACCTATACGACCGAAGTGTCAAGACGTTGGAAAAAATGACCATTCATGACATCCTCATCCAATGTCAACGTGTTTCCATTAACAAGAAAGATCTCCAAATTTTTTATTTCTTTATTCAAAGTTCATCGGTAAAGAAACTGTGTATAATAATATTCTTACACGAATCCCTCTTCCATGAATCAAGATTACTTTTGACAAATTTCTTACGTGCGTAAAGTTGGATCAACCAAACTCATACCCTTGAATTTCTTCGGCTAGATATCATACCAAAGTTTCAGAAGATCGAGTTTATCAGGCAATATAAGAATTGGCATAAATGAAGTGTGGAAAAACGAAAGTCCCAAGAACTGACCTGCCACTGGTATTTCCACAGCAAACTCGGTGTAACAGAAGACGGAGAGCATGGCCGATATGCCCGAGACCACGAAGGAGAGCACGACGGCGGGGCCGGCGTGTTCCCTCGCCTCGAGGCCGGTGAGCACGAAGATGCCGGCGCCGATGACGGCCCCGATCCCGAACCAGATCAGGTCCCACCACGTCAGCGTCCGCTTCATCTCGTGCTGGCTCCGGGCCTTGACCTCGTGGAGCTCCGTCGTCTCGAGGGACCGGGTCAGGACCCGGTCCCGCAGCCGCGCGGGCGTCTCGTTGAAGGCAGCCCAGTAGTTTCCCCAGCTCCTGAAGGACGCTTCGGGGAGGAAGTCATCCTTCGAGCATAAGCAAAACCTCCTCCTCATCGTTCCTCCACCGCCTGCATCGCTGGCTCCTCCCATGACTGATCTGCAAGGAAAGGAAGATTCACGGACTTACCGAGATCAGTCCGAGCCGATCTCAAGACGGGCTCGAGCTACAAGAGAGAAGCACGATCAGTGCCCGGGTTTCGACACAGCGTGCACGCAAGGCAAACTCCGCTCCTGTATTTTATCTAATATAGTAGACTCTATGACATGCTACAATGCATTAGCAAACAAGCATGTGATGCTCGACAAAGCCGCCTTCATTTCCTGCGCGTCCGGCCACGCCTCGCTAGCGCACGAAAGAGAGCTGGACGACGACGACGACGGAAACGCAGATGCAAACAAGATCGAGACGTCGAAAGCTCAGGCTACCGTTCATTTAGAGACCACCCAGTTCAAGATAAGATAAGCAGGAACCAAACCCATCAGGGAACTTACATAGCAATTGAGCAGATCGAGCAGAACTAGAAAGGAGACGAGTGTGCATGGATTCGGATCTTGATGCCAACTTATACCAACAGTGAACAGAAAAAGAGAGGAGGAAATTCCAAAAAAGAAAAAAAAAAAAAAAAAAAGGAGAACAAAGAAAGAGACCTTGCGAGGAAACAAAGGAAATACGTGTGAAAACTCACTTGACTGCGAAACCAGCCATAGTACAGATGCTGAAGAAGGTTGACTCAGCGAAATTATTATTATTTTGAATATATTCGTTTCGCGAAAAATAACTAATTTAAAAAATATTTTTCGAAAATAATAGCTTATATCGCTTATAATGATTGGAAAATTTTTTCGTCACTTACGAAAATCATTAGGTATAAATTATTATCGATAATGAAAAGATTTTTCTTTTGATTAATTTTTTTTAAAACTATATAAGTAATTATTTTTCGAAAAATGCTTTTTAAATTACTTATTTTTCGTGAAAGGTTTGTGTTTGAATTCTAGAGCGCACGATTGTCGATTCGAGGAGCACGGTGTCATTTTGTTCGTTGCTTTATGGTGTGTACGCATGATATGACTTTGGAAAAAAGGAAGGGAGAGATGCCATACTGATCGAAATGACAATTCAATGCATCTTGCCGGAAGTAGAATCCTGAGGTCGACAGCTGCCTTCCTTTGGTCGCTCTTACAGCTCATACATAGCTTCTCTCTCTCTTTCTCTATCTCGAGTGTGAAATGAATCTTCCTTAATTACGATGAGGCGACGTTTATTTTACGAAAAATAAATAATTAAAAAAATGTATTTCTAAAGATAATTAATTGTATCGCTTATATTACTGAATGAATGAAATTTTTTTTAATCTACGAAATTATTTGACATAAATTATTATCGATAATGAAAATATTTTTCATCGGCCAATTATTTCAAGAAAAATATTTATTTTTAATTTTTTTTTAAATTATTCTTTTTTCGCGAAACAAATAGAGTTATTAAATAGAAATCTTTCTCCGAGTATTTTTAGGGTTAATTCCACAAAAAAAAACCCTAAATTAGTTAACATGTGATAAATTTACTCAAAACTAATTTTTTTTACCACTAAAAACCCTAAACTGGTACACTTATGAGAAATTTACTTCAAACTAATTTTTTGACCACCAAAAATCACAAATTGGTACATTCAGGATAAATTTACCCTCCGTTAGTTTCCGTTAAATTGGATTAATACCACAAAAACTACAGATTGGTACACCTGTAAAAAAGGAGGGTAAAACCCTAAATTGATACACCTGTCAACTGCCATAAAGTCATCCAACTCAACAATTTAACGGTAAAACTTAATTGAAACTAACAAAACGTAAATTTGTCACAGGTGTACCAGTTTGGGATTTTTCGTGATCAAAAAAATAATTTGAAGTAAATTTATCATAAATATATCAGTTTTGAATTTTTTGTGGTATTAACTCGTATTTTTAAGCAAGCTGATTAAGCGAATAACGATGGCATACGAATGATGGGGACCAAAAAAAACCGACACGTGGCGCGCTTTGCTTGGTCGACTTGCATGTTGGGGAGTCTTCTGTGGGACGGCTACGATTGGATCCCGGCGGAGATGCCCGGCTTGATGGCTTGACGGCCGGCATTGATGGTGAAGATACATAATATAGCATTTACTTTATTAAAAAAAAGGCAATATTCCATGATCTATAATTTCATATTTACTTATATACATATTAAAATTAGAAAGTTTCCACTGATAATTGCGATGAATGTCACTTTTTTATCCCTCTTTTTCCCTTCTTCCCTTCCATTTTCGTATTCTTTGTTTCCTTTTCCCCATATCTATCATTAAAACATTTACCTTTTGATTTCGACATGCTACAAACGATTTTAAATTGATTGTGATTGTCTTGCGTGTAGAAAAAAAAAATTTATTTCATGCATCTAAGTCTTTCGTGCAGTGGATACGGTTGGAAATTCTCAAATGGTGCATGGCTTCATTCGGCGCGAAAATATGGAACTTTGACATCGTTTAAAATAGTTTCAAGTTGCTTGAAATTTTTTCTATAAACGGGTTATCTTCGAAATGATTTCATTAAGCTTATAATTGACCAATGCAATCCATTAGAATGGCGTTGATAGACAAATTCTCATACAAACACAATAAGGTAGACGAGTGATAAGCATGTTTGTCCTCCTTATTTAAGGCTTGAATTCGAATCATCACCCTTGCGCATTCTCAGGCCATCTCTATGGGTATAAATATGCTTGTCTTCGATAATTACTCGTAGCATGCGGGATGCGGGAACTGCCGCACCCAATGAAGATTAGTCATGTGCTCCAAGAGCCCCCGACACCCTCGTTATATAGAAAAGAATAGTAAGATAGATCATTTTTTGTGTTTATATTCAAACTAAATTGTGCAAATTTTATATCAATTTCGAATTGTTTGCTTGCTTACTAAGAAATTATCTACTCTAAATATGTCCATAATGTTACTATTCCCGCACAAATATGTGGGCTAAATTCACTTTCAACGGTACTAAAGTAGTCTACAAATCAACAAATAAATTTTTAAAAAGAAAAATCAATATTTAGGGTCTACATTCTACACATCACATGCTGATGTCTTCCCTAATTTGGAATATACTTTTCCCTCTCTATTTGCTTCATTAAAAGAAAAATTACTAAATTTATATTGAGAAAATGACATAAATGGTCCTTGAACTTTGACTCAATTTATAATGTGGTCCCTGAATTTTTAATTTATTTAATGTGATCTTTAAACTTTTGGTACATGTTCTAACTAATCCCTGGACCATATGAAAATGTTCAACGTGATGCCCGAACTTTTAATTCGTTCAATATAGTCTATAAACTTTTGGTACGCGTTCAAACTAGTCCCTAGACCATATGAAAAGGTTCAATGTGGTTCCCGAACTTTTAATTCGTTCAATATAGTCAATGAACTTTTGGTGCACGTTCAAACTAGTCATTGGACCATATGAAAATGTTCAATATTATTATTCTATTAATTTAAGTTTAGGGACAACATTGAACATTTTTGTGGACTAGTTTGAACACGACCCAAAAGTTCAGGGACTATATTGAACAAATTAAAAGTTTATAGACCACATTGCATATTGAGTCAAAATTCATGGATCATATTGAATAAATTAAAAGTCTAGGGATCCCCATTACATATTTGGCCAAAGTTTACACACTGTTCGTGCCATTATTCCATTCATATTTTCTTTCCTTATCATCCGAGGAATCTTCACCTTCCGAAATGATGCATTCCCACGCACTAACGCCGGTCCATTCACGCCAATTCCTTGGACCCCCACTACCGAGGCATCCGCCACGGAAAAAGTCAGCTCGAAACACTTCTGCTTTGGCACGCATCTCGACCATAATAGTCCCCGTCATATGGTCCCTGTTATTTCTGCGACTTGGACATTATTTTCCTGTCTAACGATCTTGTTCATTTATCCCATCAACGGACTCGTCGTTCATCTAATAAATCGTGGTGTTAGAAGCCTAATACGTGCCCCGATCGACATCGGATGGCGGTCGAGAAAGGAGCGTCTGGGTCTCGAAGGCGAGGTGAGGATGGGATAAGCGCGCCTTTTGGAACTTAGGCGTGCCGGCATCTCGTCGGCCGCTCGCTTCGCTCCGCCCCTTTCGCTCTTCACAAGCGCACACAAAAAAAAAGGTCACTAGATTTTTGTCGGCATCTCATCATCAATTTTCCTCTTTTTTCAAATAATCTTTTTTTTAATTATTTTTCCTCCCCTTTTTTTACCATGGAAACCTGGCGATTTGAATTTGCGGGCGTCGACTTTGGCTCGAATGAGCTGTGGAGATTGCTGCTCCATTGGCCACGGAACCCATGATCGAAAAAAGATGGGCTCAAAACCAAGATGGTTCATCACTAGGAGAACGGAGACAAAAACTCCATGTTTTTCAGTTGAAAAATCTAACATTTTTGGACCTCCTCATGGGTGGCAACGTGACTCTTTTAATGATAGATATTGCTTGTGCAAATAAATACCGTCACTAACTAATATGAATATAATAATAATTCGAGATAGGTTACGGGGAATTTATTCCCATCTTCTGAGCGGCATTGGCTGTCAAATCGAACGAGAGTAATATGAATATAATAATAATTAGAGATGGGTCATGGGGAATTTCTATACAAGGGACATCGCTTGTATGCACAAACTCTAATTTTCAATTTGAAGTCGCCTTCATGAGTGAGAAGATTCAAACAAGACAAATCCAACCCCCCCAATTTTTTTTTTTTGAAAAAGCAATGATTCTTGTGAGGTAGACTCAACATTTCAAGTTCCTACGGTTCTTCTTGTGTTGATTCCACATAACGAGAAGGGATTGCTAGCGTAACAGTTTTTTGAATGATGTTATAATTATAACATGTTGTGAGCCACAAATTCTTAAAAGAGTGGACTTCACAATAATTTCTAATTATTTGTTATTTATTTATTTATGGCTCAAAGCATGCTGTTATTCTCACAATAAATTGAGGACAGTCACATAAATATTTCTCTAACGAGAACCATCAACCAAGTTGCTCTTCTTCTTGGACTATAAAGCTTGGTAATAGCCATGAGCAAGGATCATGTAGCCAAAGAATTTTGTAGTTCCTTGTAGAGGTGAGCATGGTCCGAGTGAGCTGTTCCTACCCTAGAACCGGGAATCGCTCCTTAAGGACCGGTTTCAAAATTTTGAACCGGAAATTGCCCGTTGATTACATGGATCCACCCGGGAATCGGACCGTCGGTCCGGTCGGGTTCTTGGGTGGGTCTATGAAACCGGTCCCATGGAAGTGCACTGTTCAACGTGGTACGATTTGACGCAAAACTAAACTATCTCTAGCTAATTCGGTTTGGAAAACAAAAGAAAGCATGAGTAATTACATTCCACGCCATTAATACAAAAGAAAGCTTACACGAGCCGCCTTATACACCATGGACTTTTTTAGATAATGACTAGTCATAATCCTCAAATCAAAGGTGGTTAAGGTGGCTTGTATAAAATTTCATGTTTACACTGACGAGATATACTCTCTTATTCAAAGTTGGATT